AATATGCTGTGCGTAACCTAATCGCGAAATGACGAGTCCCGTGATACGATGACAAGATTTCATCGCTTTCTTGTTATTAGAGGTGTATATTGACCGATATTGAGGTTTTCGGTTTTTTCAGAGAAAAGCGTTTAAAATGTCGTTGAAAATATGAAAAAAAAAACTTCATACATAAGATAAGACGTTGCATTACTTTTTTAGGAAATTTCAACTACGTAAAAATATAGATTGTTAAAAAAACAACTTAGTTGTTTTGTTAAAATTTAAATTAATTATTTTACCATAATATGACACATACATTGTTAACAAAACAACATTATCAAATATCAAATGAACTCTACTCAGAATCGTTGTTTCGTCATCAATGATTTATCGTTGCCTGCAGATACACATTGAATTCCCGTCTGCATCCTACCTTCCCAACTTCTTACCTACAACAGTGGCTGCGCCCACGAGCGAGTATATCAGTCTTTTTCGTTTAATAGGATATAACTTGACTTAAACTAGTAAAAAAACTTTAGTTAACTCGTTCAGACTCTAGCTTTGGAGTATCGCAAAAAAAAAAAAAAAAAAACAAATCAAATCAAATCTCTTCGGTACTGCCTACAATTAAATTATAAAATTTATGCTCTCTTGGCCGTAGGCCTGTGGCCGATATCTTAAGATATCCACGTGAGTATAGTGTGCAAAAACCGTCGGCTCCGGCCCGCGGGCGACCAACTCGGTTCGTTATTGTTATTTAATACAGTAAAATATATCTCGTCTCGTCTGTTCCGCGTGTAAAAACGCCATTATTTCGTGTGCCCCGATAATATTTATTGTGCAGTGCGCGTATACATAATATAGTCCATTGTGATTATTTATATAGGATAGGCACGAGACGATTCTCTATATAACATAGTAAATCGTACGCGCGTGTTATTATTATTATTATTATCATCATCACTTTGTATGTTTTAATATGCGCGGCGGACCATTGTATGCAAATAATACCAAGGTAGGTATCTGATATAATAACGAAGGAACATTTCAGACGGGCCCGACAGTTTTTTTTTTTTTTTGCTTAACGTATACAGGATGATTCTTTTTTCAATCTCCGAAGACTTCGACTTCGACATTTGATTTATTCGGACGGACGGATATCAAATCGCGTGTTTCTCGTTCACAGCGATGTTTTCAAAAAAATGTCTCTTTATTCCGTATAAATACGAAATTATTATATACCTGTCTATTATAATTAGTGATTGTCAAATACAACCTAACCGCGAAAAATATTCTCTTTTTGAACGAACCGGATTTTTAAAAAAATGTACATTACTTTGAACACATAAAAAGTTGTTGCCGTAGAATAATTGGATACCGTATTGCGCACATATTATAATTCTTCTTCCATAGTAGATATATACTCTCGAAGAGTTTTGGACGACGCTGTCATAGTGTCGCCACTACATTATCAGGTCGAGTATTCTCTCCTTTTAATTTTGCCATACCCAACGCTCTCGGATACGTTTATGACATCATCTTCTACGCTACTTATCAGGTGGCTTTTTCCCTTGAGGAACTCATTCGATATCGGTACTTACTGGATCATTATATTTTCGACGCATAAGATCCACTGAATTCTCTGGCCCTTGGTAAAGTTACACCGATCACACATCCATAGGCACCCGTAAGGGAAGGGGCAAAACAGGGTGTTCCCCCAGATTTTAATATGGCAATACATTTGTCATATTTAAATAATTTTCCGATCAGATATTACATAAGTTATAAAATACCTGTTCCTCCCCCCCTTAGACGAATTCTGCGATCTCTAACGCACGTATCCATTTGCAGTTTATATATCGCCCTGCCATATCTCCTCCACTAACTTCGACTACATCCGGTCCATCTCTAATGATTTTCCTTCAAACTTTGTTTTTGAAAGTCCTCATTAACGTCCTTGCCGTATAGTGATCGTCGTCGTTAGAGACGGTCTAAATGAATAGGTAAATTTGATATAACGGTTGAAAAAAATACATTAAATCTACTCGAAACCTCCGTACATATAATCTTCGCGATAAAATAATCACCCTGTACAGAGGTAGCACACACGTGTGTGTGTGTTTGTGTGTGTTTTTTATGTATACCGAAGCCTGCAGGACGTACCGCAAAAATCCGATTGTGTTCTATTCTCAGGCGGATCTATTTTTTTTTTTTTTTCCATTATATTATTATTATTATTATAGTACTAATAATAATCTTCGTAGAAATAATATTATAGTATACTTACGTTTTTGTTGTTGTTGTGTCCGCCGTCGCCGCCGCCAACACAACAAAACGATGACGACGGTGGAATAAAAAATATATAAAAAAAACCGATCGTAATCGCTTTTCATGATTAAGATCGACTGTTTGTGCGCATAATATATTTATTATGTTATACAGATATGGTACGTCATATTAACAACAAAAAGCACGATAATTGCGTCACATTTTCGCGGATGTGTAAGTGTATACATTATGCACACTAACAGTATTAGTATTATTATTTTGTCTTCAATGGGGCCAACAACAACAACAACAACAACAACACACACTTTTCGTCTGAGGTCTGAGCCGTTCGCGAGAGCACAATCACCTATAATAATAATAATAATAATAATAATAATACTCGCACACCGTCGTCATCGTGATTGTTGGTCAACGTAATCGATATTATAATAAAATTATTGTAATTTTATTTCTATATACATAATAATTTACACTATACAGAGTGATTATATAATTCGGGAACCGTTTGCACTGATTCGGAATAATCGCGTTCAAAAATTTCGAATAAACGCGTCATTTCGGTTGGGTTTTTTTTTTATTTTCATTCGACACCTTATGTTATTGAGGAACCGTTGAATGACGTTACACTGTCGTTACCATCAACATCCAGTCCGCGTTTTTAGAGGATTAATTTCCATTATTTTTTTAAAAGAATAGGAACGCTCATTTTTAGGAACGAAAATGTAAGTATTTTAACTATTTCGTTCTTCTCTAGAAATGTGTGTTCTAAAACACATTTGTGGAGTAAAATTTCGTTCATCGATCAAGTTTTGAATCAATAACAGAACCGAAAATCTTCCAACCGATTTTTCGTTGACGCGCGACTTTGTGTTCCAAGGCGATCAATTAATTAGTGATGTTTTCGAATATAAAATAATTATTTCGGACCGCATGACCGCATCAGGCGTTATTCATAATGGAACGCTTAAGTGAGGAACGGGGAACGGGACCGCGTTCTTTTTTAAAAGGAACGTTAACGATAACGCCGATAACGCCGCGTAAGATGTGTATCTATTGCGCGGGATACGGGATAAAAGACATTATGCAAATATTATCGGAAATTATTACTTGTACAGTGTAGGTCACTGTACGCGGGCAAAACACCAAAAGAGCCACTCTTGACATTCGCTGTAGACAATCGTCGCTTTTGCGTGATGAAATAATCGCCCTGTACGTACCGAAGACCGCGTTAACAGAACGGCGCTTCGGGACCGGTGTTTACAATCCGTACAGGACGATAATATGCCGGCGACGCGACCGCGGCGGGAAAGTTAATCGATTCGCTGTTTACGTATTATTATTACTGTTTATTTTTTTTTTTTTTTTTTTTTTTTTTTTTTTTTTTTTTTTTATCAACTCGTCTCGTTAACAACGACGCGCGATACCGGCCGTATCGTGCGTGCTCATATATCTGTACAGGCGGGTGCCGTACACCGCGGAAGATCGTATATTTAAATTTGTATTTTATAACATCGCTTTTACAGCGATAATCCTTACATAAATAAATACGTAAATACACGCGCGTACATAACTATAATATAATAATAATAATAATCATATAATGCGTAAGGCATACACGCATAGGTTATTTTAAAACGTCCGATTATATAAACGAGTTTCGCTTTGCAGTCGTACACGTTCCGGTGAAATACTATAATATTATTTTTTTAACAAAAAAATGACTCGTGTTACGATTTTTTCAGATTCCGAAACGTTATACAGTGTTTTTTTTTTTTTTTTTTTGTTTTTCGTATAAGTGGAGAGCGTAGTAGTAGCGCATCGTTCGTGTGGCACAGTGACGTTCGAATAGTGCTCGACTATTTTGGGTATACACTCGCCGTCTATATAAAAATGGAATATTTCGTCAACTTTATCTATTTGTCGAATTTTCAATGCAACAAGTTATTATTTTCGAGCGCCAAAATAAGTGGGTAGTGGTGGCTTCGCCAAGGGCGAAGAAATTAAAGACAATAAAAGATTTTAGAACGTACGATTCCAAAAATGTTTTACATTAATAATTTTTTGAACAAATACAATTTATTTCATTAAAAACGTTACTGTAACATGACATGAAACGGAAAACCTTGTTAAACGTGTTTTGAAATGTCGTGGTTTTACGATTTTCCTCAAACTTTAAACTTAAAACGCTTATAATACTATCTTGGTACACTATATACGTTCATCTTTTACCACCAAGTATAAGTATTATGATGAACTTCGTGTTAAATTTTCGAGTATTTTTGACAAGCCAAAATAATTTTATCCGCATAAAACCAAAAAAAACTCGAAATAAGCAAATTTTCAAGTAATCGGATAATCACCAGAACGTTTTGAACTGTCGATTATTTCGTATTGCGTATATTTTCCCGTGGTTTTCTGATTATTGATAAAACTACAAGGACAATCAAAATACGACCTCCTCAATACACCAACTAAACGGAATTAGCTATCGGAAATTACCCTTACAAATTTAATTATCGGAGCATGATTTCTAGTAGAGAAGTCATTTTGAAAACGGGAGGAGGGGGGAAACAATGATCATATTATAATAAAACCGATTGATAGGTTGGTAGCTAAAAATATTTTGAATACACGAACTTGTAGTTAGTCTTTGTTATATTATAAATTGTATACCTACTTTAAAAATTTCAGGAAGAGTGTGCTTAAACCTCCAGACCCCCCTGTATACAGCCTCGATAGAACCCGTTTAAGGCTCTCTAAGTCGCTCTCCTAGGGACCCGTTAAAAAAAGCGTATTAAGCAAGAAAACCAATCCAAAATGCATTTCTTTTGCTATTTTTTCTGTCACTCTTTTTATCGTACATTATTAAAATGTTCAACTTGTCAGTAAACAGAACGAGTCTTTCGTTTAGTTCCTAGAAAATCAGTCAAGATTAAAAATTAAACTCGACAAATTCGCTATTTAAAGAGAATAAAATAATAAATTACACTTCACCATAGTCTATGGTAAACCGCAAACAGTCGTAAACTAGTGCCATGTTCGATAATATCTATTGTATGTACCTCACACGTAACATTTCGTTTCAAACGATTTTCGATTAAAAGACGCCGTTTTTTTTTGGATGTTAACACTTAAAAACGTACCAATCAGATAGAATTATGTTGTAGGTAGAAAGTCGGTAAAAAAATTCGATTCTGAGCAGTGTTCGATTACCCGGTTAAACAAACCATTATAGTCGGTATTTTGACCGAGGGAATTTATTATGGCGAATTATGTCGAATTATCTATAAAATATAGTATATTAAATATATTTGGACAATCTAAATATCTTGTCTATACATACAGGTAAACGGAAGTCATGAAGCATTTTTTTTTTTTTTTTACAATCCGAAAAAAACACAATTTAACAAAAAACTTAATAGCTTCCTAGGTTTACTCGGACTAAAAAAAAAAAAAAAACATAAATAAACAATATTGTATTTCGTTTGAACGTATCGTTTTTAATCGTGCGTAGGTATTATCCGTTTTCGTAACACTGCAATTTGTCATTAATATTTTTATTTTTATTTTTTTTTCGATAAATATTAAATAATACGTTTTAATCCGTTGAAGACGACCGCGGATTTCAAATAATTATTGTTTTGTTTGTAACCCAAATAATAATCGTTTATCTAAATGTGCAGCAATAGTGAAAGGAACACATTATAATATATTATAATTTGAATACCAATTGAATATGTTAACATAATTTATTTATAGTGATTGTATCTACTTCTACTTCTACCTACGTTCAATTTAATTATATATTTACGAGTATAATTTAGAGAATTTATTGGTTTTTATAATGGTATAATATGTGAGCTCGAGAATTGTAAAACAAAATAATAACATGCGAAATTCATGTCGGTACGTTGAAATGTTAACGAACGTCCGTGGCAATCAAACCGACGTCAAATTGTCAACACGAATGAAATCAACGTACCGTGTGTGTTTGACGCCGCGTTATACGTCTCTGAACACGTTTACCGCCCGGCCGAAAAATAGTTTTCCGATAAATCGCGTCTCGGCTAAGCAATGGCGTAGCCTAACAATCGGTACGTCCGGAATGGAATGAAATGTTGTCAAATGTCTTCGTGAACCAGAAACGAACCACCAGCCGCCTATTGCGGGTTACAGCGATAAAACTGATAAAAAAAAAAAAAAAACCGCGTCGAAAACACCGCGGTAACCGGGGCGCACCCGCGGGCCCCGGACACTCGGAGGGCTACGGGGTCGCGGACGGTTTCGCCCCGGACAGAGATGGACGCCGCGCCCCCGGTTTCGACCGTCGCCGAGTCTACCGGAATCCGATCGTTCGCCGCCGTGAATCCCCGTAATTAACAACGATAAAACAACGGTAACGGCAACTCGGTGACGCGGAACGACCCGACGCTACGGTTTTCGCAACGCGCGCGGCGAACGGACCGGGACCGGGGGTTATTGCCCGACGCCCGGTATTAATTGTCGCGTAGCCCCCCCCCGTCAACGCGCGCGTAACGGATAAACGCCGTTTATCGCGCGTTCGCGCCACCGGTATTCGCCCGCGCGGATTTCCCGTCACGAAACCGGCGGCGGCCGTCGAGGGACGCGACGTCAACGGGATGACGGCGATAAAATCCCGCGCCCGTCGCTCCGCAGCGATCTCGCGTCAACGGACAGGGCCCGGCGCGGCGGCGCGGTATTTTTTATTGTTTTTTTTTTTTCGAAAATATTAAAAGCCAGCACTCGTATTACACATAAAAGAGAAACGAAAAAAAAAAAAAAAATGGGCGATTTCACTATGATAGTAGTGTCATGCCTCAAAGGGTCAAGACGCGTAGCAACGGTTGTTAATGTTTTGTTATTGTTTTCCACACGTCCAAATTCAATAACGTGGTTACATTGCATTATTTGCGTACCCTCCAATCAGTGGTCGCTTATAAAGTCACCAATAAAACTTTAAATGTCAGTTAGTCCGACAATCGGAGTAAACCTTTTTTTTTTTTTTAAACATTAATAGTAAAAGTAACTACGGCGCCCCTATATTTGCTTTCTATCGCGAATAGTTACGTCCAGTGATAGAACACGCATTTTATAACCAAACCTTTATTTTTAATATCGTAAACTAATGACGAAATATCATAACAACGGTATTGTTTAAAAGAAAATTACGTTACGGCACGAAAACCATAAAGGATCACGTGTGGTTAACGAGGGACAATGCAGATCGGCTAATCGTTTTATTTAATGTTTATCTAATTGAACTCTGTACCCTGGTATGTAATCTTTAAACTACGTTAAATATTAATCGTAAAAATAAAAAGCACGCATTTTACAGGTCAGTTTTAATATACACGCTATAGGTCATTTTTTTGCATTTTTCGTGTAAATAAGAGAATGCAGAAATAAGATAAAAAAATAAACGCACAATTCAAGTGCGAGTCGCACATAGATGATTTTATAATATTACGACTTTTGACGATTTTCAATATGAACAAACAGTCATTCGGTAATACAATCATACTGACATAAAATGTGTACAAAACACGAAAACTATGCTGACATCAACATTATTTTATTTCGAGCACGAAAATTTACTTTGCTTTTTTTTATGCATCGTTTTCGGCTAAATAATTGTCTTTTAAAGTAATTGGAATGGATCTTTAAACTTCACTACTCTAGGAGTACAAACATCGAATGAAATAGTTTAAGACCCGGGAGTTGTGGAAGAATTTATAGCAATGATGGAAAAAACCTGAGAGAGAAGCCAATGAAAATGACGTAGGACAATTTGAAGATCATCTTTGAAAACCGTGTACTTTTTATAAGTACCTCTATATAGCTAATAGCTATAGATTATATTTACTAAACAATAATGATATTGAACGTCGAGTACGAAATTTTATTCTACAACTCGTTGTACGAAAATGTGATGTGTAATCGATAATAACGATGCCTGTACTGTACTAATACTACTAATACTACTATTAGGTAGGTACCTGCTTATTACTACCTTATTTTTTTTAATTTTGCGGCAAATCAATAAAAAATGATGACCCGAACGAATAAAAGAGTGGACCCCTGAGAAAAAACACGGAAGCATGTATACTACGAAAAATAAGTATTTCTCACTTTGGTAACCGTCTTTAATATACAAAAGTAACCATCAATAGTACACACAAACGGCTATCGAATTGCTATTATACCATCGAGTTGACATTTTGTGTGGTAGTTTGTAGATTCTGAATGGCGCGAAGAAACTTATGGTTTTACAAAGATGTTTTTTTTTTCTGTGGACAACTTTCCTACCAGAGATCATGCTCCGATGTGGAAGATGTGGGGAAGTACTTTGAGGAGATAATGTTTCGATTTTTCAAGGAGTTTTCTCAACAAATGTGAAAAACCGGAAAGAAAAAAACGGGAAAATCGGATCAATATTAAACAAATATTATTAAAGAAAACAAAATCAAATTATCTTACCATAATATGACATACATTTTGTTGACAAAGCATAACTATCGACTGAACTCCGCTCAGAATCGTTTTTTCGTTAACAATGGTTTTATCGTTGCTTACAGGTGTACATTAAATTCCCTCCTATATCCTACCTTACCAACTACCCGCCCACAACAGTGTGGCTGCACCCGTCCCCGTTATCCTAGGACAGCTTTTTTTATTTTTTTATAACATACGCGATGAAACGCCATCCGCAACTGCAGTTCGTGCGGCGGAATAACATTCGAAATATCCCATATTATGCGTAGAAGAACGCATTATTATTCGTTATTACGTCGCGTACAATTCTGCTCATTATTATATTCATTTCGTTATTATAGGTACGTCGTCTCAAATACCACGTGCTCATTATCCGCCTATAATACACATTGAAATGTACGCGTGTATATTGTGAATAATATACCTGAAAAAAAAAAAACACAATATTTCGTAAAAAAATTAAAAAATTACATATATATATGTATTAATTTTTTTTTTTTTTCCCATCCAAGTTGGTAAAATACGCCCGCCCTTGGGTGAAGACGATAATAATATAATATTCCGACCTCGGTCGGCGTACAGAGCACAACCCCACTCAATACACGTTCCCGACGTATCGCGCACGCACCACGGCTGTGACCCGCGAGGTTGAGGAGAATGGTTTTGCGAGCCGAGAAAGGTTTTATTTTTTTTATTATTATTTTTTTTTTTTTTTTCTCTAAAGGATACGACGATAGTATTATATCATTTATAAATATGTAGTCGTGTAAAGTAGGTAGGTATTTATAAAGATATTTTTGAAAAGAAAAAAAAAAAACACGTAATTGAGAACAATAATTTTCTGTGTACACCATAAAATACGCTGTATTTATGTATGTAATAATTACAGCTATCTATATAAATATATATATTTTCTATTTGAGTCCAAACCTTAAGATATTATTGCGTAGACTCTACCGAGTATATTTGCCCGCGCGGTATCGTTTGACACACATTATTTAATTTTATTATTTATTGTGTTATGCATTAACGGGTGTTTTTACCCTTTTACAAAAGTACACAAAAAAAAAAAAAAAAAAAAAAAAAAAAAAAGATAAAATAACTCCGGTAATACATAAATAATTCAGACTAATAAATACGTATTATGGATAAAATATAAACATTGTTTTNTTTTTTTTCTCTAAAGGATACGACGATAGTATTATATCATTTATAAATATGTAGTCGTGTAAAGTAGGTAGGTATTTATAAAGATATTTTTGAAAAGAAAAAAAAAAAAAGATAAAATAACTCCGGTAATACATAAATAATTCAGACTAATAAATACGTATTATGGATAAAATATAAACATTGTTTTTTTTTTTCTTTCCTTAGATATTATTATATCGAGTTTTTATTTTTTTTTTTGATTACTATACGGTAATAAAATAACAATAATTTTGTTCAGTAATTAGGTACGCGTCTTCGTAATAGCACTGTACTAGTACAATTGCGAACTCGGTATTTTTAATTACGAAACAATTCGCGGGTTTTCGTGATTTTTACAAATCGAAAACTCGAACATTTCAAATAAATGTCTCAAAAAGAGCCAGTAAATATTTTGGAAATAGGGGTTTATTTTCCTAACGTTTTTCCGTCGGTAGACTGTTGGATATCTGGACAAATATCTCGAACAGAATACCGCCGCCGTCCGGACGGAAAATCCGTAAAATCCTTTAAAGTTTTGGAAGTTTTGGAACACGTTTTTACCAGCCGAAAAAATCATCGCATAATTTATAAAACACCAAAACTTTAAAGAAAAAACCATCACGTAGGTATATGGAATATCGGCAGGACCATATTATAACACACAAACGTACGACACACGTACAAACGTACAAACGAAATATTCTTCTCTCCTCCAGTTCGCCTTTGTCAAGCTCATGTATCGATGAATCGACGAAAAAAAAAATACTGTATATCACGTAGTAAAACTATAAACTATGAACTAAAAAAACTAATGTCTATATTATAGTAAAATAATAAATACAATATTTTCAATGATAAGTGACATATTCTATTGTAGTTTATCGAAAAAAAAAATAAAAATAATAAAGAAGAAGAGAATGCCGAAGTACGTCGACGTAACTTGAGGTACCAACCAAGAATAGTCGGAAAATTCAACTAGCGTTTTTGATAACGCCTTAATTGATATCAGATCTTCAACCAAACAAAGGCCTACACCGCTAGAGGGCAGTAACGAAAGACCTAAAATGAATAAGTGAATCCGTTTTCACAGAGACGGTGGGAAAGTCTAACTTGTACCCGTCGGCTAACGATAATAATTATAAGTGTTTCTGGACGTAACAATATTATTGTTATGGCCGATGGAAATTTCGTTTTTTTCCTCGTTACCTACCCGGCGTGTTTTCGCCGACTAATCGAAATGTGTTCGGTTCGCACTCGAGTTGACGAGTGAACGGTTAGCCACGTTTTAAACAGCGCGCGGTTTGAAATCGCCGTCTTCGTATTCCGCGCGGCTGTACATTAATAGGCCGAGCGCGACCGGTCAACGCCGCCCCCGTACGGTTCTGGTGCGGCGCGGCCCTCGGGGAGCCGCCGAAAACCCGACGGGCCGTGCGCGCCGCGGTGCACCGCGCATCATTCGGGTTCCGTCGAGTGCCCACTGATCGAACGCGCCCGGGTCTCGGGCGCGGGAGAAAAACTCGGCGAGACGGGCGGTGTGGGGAGGCTGAGGGCCACGGCCGGTAAGGGGTCGAGAACCACCGCGGCCGGTGCGCCGTCCACGGATCTCGTGCGCGACGGCAATAATTTTACCGGCGCGTGAACCGTTGCGTTTCCCCGTGGTCCCCCGTTTGCGGCACGGCATTCCGACGTCCCGACGGCCGCGCCGCGTGTTACCGCCGCCGGCGAAAAGCCGTCGGGCCGGCGGCGGTCGGCCGAGATAACCAACCGCATTTGTGATGGTTAATGATTTTGGCCGCGCGCGAGGCTACAAACGCCGATTTTCGAACCGTACCGCCGGGGCGGGAGCGATTCGCGCGAAACGTGACGGCAACGTACGCGAGACGTCGGCATTGCGGGGCTGAAACGCCTAACCCGGCCGACCGATCGTACCGCGGTTCGTTGACGGCAGCGTTTTTTTTTTTTTCGAACGGCTCGACGACGACGTGATAAACATCGGGATATCGAAACAGACCCACTTGCATTTGAGTCCAAGACAGACAATTCGACTCCGAGTTGCGAAACAATAAAAAATAAGAACCCGATAGCCGAATTGTAATATTTCGATTCCAGTATTTTGTAAAATCGAAAAACGAAACGTACATGTGTATGTTACGAAAACCGGTGTGATGCTTTGTCAGTTGGGGGAGAGCGTAAAACTCGCACGGGTCTCTATAAACCGAAATGTTCGTCACGCGTCCTGGAGACAAAAAAAAAAAAAAATCCTAAACATGTTTACAACCCCGCCGAAACACCGAAATGACGTCGCCGACTGTCACGACCTCATATAACTGACACAATAAAATATTGCAGTTTCAATTTTAGATTCTGAGCGGAACCTAGTATGCAGAATTAATTTTTTTTTTTTTTTCCGAGAGTAGCGACGGAGCTATATTGGTTTTAAAATGCTCTTTATTTCTCCCTCCCTTTTTTTTTTGGTCTGGTCTGTGGACACGTTTTTTCCTAGTGAACTTGATCTGATTTTTACGTGTAGCGACCTTTTCTGAAAGCGTTTTCTTTTTTTTTTTTCTATTACTAAACTGCCATTAGTAAGATAATAACAACATCAACGGTCGTTTCGAAAATATTATATTTCACAATTTCAAATATCGAATACAAATACTCTATTTATTATTATAGACGCGTAAAAACTATATTAATTGATTTTTCGCGCACAGAATGCGTATAATATTATCTCATATTTGAATACGATTAGTGTTGCTGTTATAGGTGACCCAACAGCAATAGACTGGGTTAAGATTCATAACGTCGTATCAACGCAAAAATCCTCGCTGGTCCGCCGGTGCCCCCGATGATCTTGATCGGCTGGACAATGAGTTTAAATCCTCTGGACGGCAAACTGGTACCGTTCAAAGCGACGTTTTCCAGATTGTACAAATTTTTTTTGGCAAATATTTTGTGCGCGTCAAACGAACTGGAATTACAAGCGTCGATGGTCGGGCCGTCCACACCGATGCCGAACACTTTTCCAGAATCGGCGATCCACTGCGACGCGTCTTTCGACAATCCCGGACATCTATAAAGTATCATTCCGAAAAATTTGGAAAAATGTAAGGCAATTTAATTTATATCTGTACGCAATGATGAATCGTCGAAATACGATTCTGAGAAAATGTCAGATAAACGTGTTTATGCTTGAGTGATAAAATGTAATGGAAAATTGTATTAATTTATAATTACACAGATCGAATTGTAATTTGCCGTTTTTTCGTCTCGAACATTTAAACATTTGTATTGAACCAAAATAACTTTATCTGCATTAATTGGAAAATAATGTGAAATTTTGTGACTTAATTTTAAATTTAAAGGAGCAAGGAATACTTTGGTTTTACTATAATGCGTATTTATCTTCTTTATTTTTATATCTATGAACAACTTTTCAAACAGATAACTTGATCCGACGAATCAAATATAAACAACTTTTCTGGAAGGAAATTTTATCTGGTTAGTGCAACGAGAAGGTCATTTTTTTATTTTCAGAAATGTTTTTACAATAATTGAAGAAAACCGAGAAAAACCGTAGATAAAATGGGAAAATTTACGAAAATAATGCTTTTATTACTCTCAATTTTGTTTTTTTATTGTAATTCAGTTAAAAATATTCGTAGAAACATGAAACGTATACAACAAACTTAAATTTACCTCTTCTAAACGCGATAAAAATGTTTAAATCATTTAAGTTAATTTTTTGGCTATAAAAAGACATTTTAATTTTGCTAGTTTTGTACGTGGTTTTGATTTAGTGGGTACTCTGTGGATAAAATTGTTAAAATAAACAGAAATGCTTGAAGATTTAACAGGACATTCATTATAAGTCGTACTTAATGGTCAATAAGAAAAAGCCGAGTTTAATGTAGTAATTTTTTTTTTTTTGTTTATATTAATTTTAATATCAAATACTGACGAAAATTGTAAATATCACGGCCTTTCAAAACGTGTGTAATCAAACTTTGCTCCCAATGGTTTATCGTTGCGTACAGATAAAAATTAAATTCCACTCTATATATCCTACCTTCCCAACTTCTCGCCTATAACATCGTGCGAAATATGTTCGTTTTAATTAAATTTAAAAATATCCTTAAGGAACGGAGATTTTGACAGAAAACTTATGTTAACCGTACTTGGAAGTCGTAAAATTGTCAAAACATATTTTTGATCAATTTTTTACATTTTGACTTGACAAGATTTTACGTAGTTTCCATTTGACAATTACTATATATGTAGCAAAAATTGTTTAATTTGAATTGGTACCTTTTTGGACTCTCTGACGAGCCATAGTACGATTGACGATCACCAAACTTATGAGCCCATCCAAAGTTCACCAATATGACACAACGATACGGCAGCGGACCGTTAATCGTTTCCCACGCTTTCAAATGGTCAGCGGTCAGTAAAAAGTCACCGTTCCCGTTGACTTCGCTGCTGACGTTCACGTGCACACCTGCGGTTAATAATTCGACGATATAGAAATATTTCTGTCTCACCCGTAAATAATAGTAAGAATGTACGTAAGACCTTCCCACTACCTTCAACGAACAGGCGCTCTATCGGGATTTCGTCCAACTTCCATCCGTCGGGATTGAAGTGAAAAGGCGCGTCTAAATGCGTACCGCAATGCTCGCTTAACGAAATGCTTTCCGAGACGTACCAATTGTTAGGTTCGGTATTCAATATTTGGTCAAACACTTTGAAGTGTTCTTGAGAACTCCAACAAGTCGTAGTGTAGTTACGGTAACCGTGTGTCAAATCGAACACGGTAGCGTGGGCTCTTTTCGGCACGGTCATCGCGAAGAAAACCGCAAAAATAAAATGCCACGTGACCATTATTATGCTATTGTCATATGCTCGGAAAATACGCAAAACCGCAAAAATCGTTCAACAATAATTCATACGGGTACATACACGCTGACTATACTCGCGAATGTTAATAGGTACCGACAATTTATTGCAGCTGAAATCGCGTTAATTTGTTTCGGACGAAAAATAAGAGTGAGAAGTTTATAGGTCGTGTATGATTTACAATAACCGATGCTTTAACTCAAAATAAACATTTAGATAAGAAAACGATAGAAGTTGTTGACCTTGTACCTCGTTAAATATTTGTAGTTTTCTTGCGAGACTTGTCAAAACATAAAATACTATATATTTAATCCGATACTGACAAGGTAAACCGTTAGTACTCTAATAGTTTTTTAACCCGAGTTATGTCCAATCAGTGTTTTTTTTTTTGAATTATGATTATTAAGCGTTTAAAAACCTCTATCACACGCAGTCTTTTATCAAATCGATTATTATATGCAATGGAAATTCGTTCAAAGTTCAAAGTCAAATTAATGTAATCGTTTCAAACCCGATATTATAAAGGTGCGCGGCCGTTAACGGCCAGCCCACTTTCTCGAATGTTTTATTATTTTATTAATTTTAATTCGGCGTGGACCTGCGCCGCGTAAAGTAAAACGGAATATCCTAATTAATTTTGGATACCTAAAAAGATATATGAAAACAAATAGCCCACCGCTGTCTGAGAATCGTGGGAAAAAATCGAATACAACTAATTACGAGAGCGATGTTTTGTAGTTTTTAATGTTAATATTGACCACCCTGTCCCGCGATTCAAGCACCGTACACCTATTCAAAAATACGCGTGCTCCGCACGTCAACATTATTTATTGTACGGGCGGAAACCCAATAAACCTCATAAATACAATACAACATTTTGTTGTATTCACATGTTGGAAATATACATATGAACATTGTACACCGTATAAGATAAATAAAATAAAAATACAATTTTATTGCATGGTCAAAGTAACATAATCGGCTAAATTAGGAATAGGCGGTGTCGAGATTGGCTTGCCTCATACAGCGCGAGTGATGGGTTCTTTATTTTGGTAATCTGTAGCAGCACAAGACGGTACAATGAACGGAGCCATAGTGTACGGGTATTGCGCGCGGGAACTCTAATGTTAACGCGTTGATGAAGGAGAGGATGAGAAACAGTTATACCGCAGATGAAATTTTGAAGGGAGATTAAGTCGAGGAACAAGGATGGGACCAAGATCGTGGACATCACTCTCAACGGAGACGAGAACGGTGCCATTAATTGAATAGGAGAATAAATGAGGAGAACGGCGTCGAGTGAAGGACGTAGATTTACTTTTATCAATCCTCCTGTAAGTTTATGCAATCATCCGGGGAACCGATTTTAAGACAGTTATTTATATCATCGGCAAAACACGAAAAATTGCAGAATTGATGGACGCTTGAAACCCTGATTATGAATAGATCGGAATAAAATTGGAAACGAAATTTGTCTAAAATGTAAAACTAAAAGATAAATAATAAACAGGAATAAAAATGCCATAACAACTTAAAACAAATATTATATCCGGTCTATTATTGGCTTGAAATAGGATGGGCTACGTTGGCAACATGAATGAGAACCTAACATAACCTAACACGAATTTAAAAAAATGTACGAAACGCTAGAACACTTTTAGTCCGCGGACTATCCACTTTCCGCCTATTTTTTTTTTTTTTTTTTTAGTTCAGTATGACTCATACGGAGGCAAAGCAAAACGGAAATAAAGGTCAAAAGAATAAAATTTAGCACGGCCAACGCCGGGCGTGGGACGGCTAGTATAAAATATACAGATCATACCAACAAACCGATTTATATCTCAAATCAAATCCCGGCAGGCTTTGGTTATCGGCTTTGTTAAAAGATTATAATGACCAGTCGTAATACGAAAACAGACGCACGATCAGACACACGTCACTAGAATATATTCTTAACTCTATGATTGTTTCGGTGGCGACCACGACAATTATTGTTAATAAATACAAATGTTATTTGTAATATAAATTAATTGACAAGACCACGACAGTTATTGTTAATGAAAATACAAATGTTATTTGTAATATAAATTAATTGATAAGACCAATTATCGGCAACAGATTAACAAGCGGATTAAAAATTGAGCGTGAAATTTATTAGTTTTACAATGGTGTTAATTTTTTTTTTTTTTCTTGTGGACGATTTTTCTACCAGCAATTTTGCTCCGATTTACAATGATAACAATTTTTCTAAAAGGAAATCTGACTGGGAAGGTACTTTAGGGAAGTCTTTTTTTTGATTTTCCCTAATAAATGGAAAAACGGGAAAATAGGTACAACACTAAACAAATATTATTAAAGAAAATATATAATGAATGTTTAATTATTTTACCAAAATATGGCATATGCAATGCTGTCAAAGCAACACTATCAGCCGAACTCTGCTTAGAATCGTTTTTTCGTTGGCAATGGTTTATCGTTGCTTACAGATATACATTGAATTTTCCGTCTACTACCTTCCAAACTCGAATCTGATCGACTGAATATTATTTTTTTTGTTTATGTATCGATTAAGTTAGGTTACCTTTTAACATGTTAACGCGGCGTCCGTAATATCAACGTTGTCGGGTTTGAATCCGACGATCATAAATCAAATTTGTTAGGGTTTTTTTTTTACCCGGCTTTATCTAAACCTGTCATGATTTTTCATCGAATAGATTTCAAGTTCGCCAACAGTCAAAATACTTTCCAAACAATTTCTTTTTAAACATAAAAGTGAATGCAGATGGAATAGATTCTTTGATAGCTACTACCCACCGCTGAAAGGAAATCTATGATACACCTTATCGCCATAAAAAAAAAAAAAAAGATTACTTTCAAGACTATAATAATTGCACTTAAACACCGGTTAATTTCAAAAAAACGTGACGCCTATTTAAGTGAGCTTACCGTAGCGACATCGACACGTTCATAATAATATAACAAATAACGTTGAAGTCAGTCACCTCGCCAATATTATGAACATTCTATACTACACCAGTAAAACACATATTAAAATACAACTCGTTTCATCCGCACAAACTACATTGTGTACAAGGGTTAAAACAAATCACAATCAAAAATCACTCCGGCAATCACATTTGACGGAGTCATGCAGTATACAATTATGTTTTTTTTTTTTTATAAAAATAATTGGCCTGAACTTGAGAAAATGTTTTTTTAACAATAGTTTACAAAAATTGTGTATAATGCTAATTAATTGATAAAAAAAAAACTATATATAGTATGAATAAGGTATTGTATAATATGTGATTTACGAAATTAATATAGAAAACTGACGGTTTTAAAAAAATAATAATAATAATAATAATAAACTACAGGTAAATAAGTAGGGCGCCAGCTTATAATTGACTGCTAAACGGTTTAGCAAAAAATGAAATATAAATACGACAATAATTAGATTCAGTGGTGTGCCCGGGAATCATCAACGTGAGGGGATGTAGCAAATAAAAACCGTGAATAAAAAAACTAATCGTGCATAGCTGTTCTCTAGCCAACTCGACTGTGGCAATTGGTAACTGAAAAGCCGGGTCCTAGAAAAAGCCGATTTCCAATCAATACATCGAGCGTTTCTTCGTGACTCGGCTGAAATAAATGCATTTCGATATTGAACTGCCCACTCATATCGTTTCCTGTTTTTAAGCCAATGATGAGAGGGGATATAACCCCTAACCTCGCCCCTCCGCGCACGCCACTGATTAGGTATAGGCACTGGTTACACCGAACGAGAAACATAATCTGCCGTTTGTAGTCCCGCATACGACATTATTTATACTGGCGGCAGCGTGGAACCTATCCACGTCACACAGTTTTAGCACTGGTCTAGTGGTCTATTTTTTTATCCGTTTATACTATCCGTGGAGCCGTTGAGGTCGTGATATTTTAACTTATTTAAATTATATTTTAATGAAACCACTTTTTTTTTTCAAACGCGATCATCAATAATTGACTACCTATTAAAATCGACCTGTTTATAATCTAGGTGCCTATTATTGTTTATTGCATGCAAATGTACGAGTCCGGCGAGTTCGCTCTGGCGTACGCCTACATAATTACACGTAGAGGAGAATGAGATATTGGATCCAGTGGGGTGTGCCCGCCCGCTGGGGTGTTATAGCGGCCCCCTTGGCATATTGCTATCTGATTAAAACGAATATTTACTATACCTATACGCAATTATACACGTATTTATTTTTCAAAAGGCCGGGCATATTTCTATGAATCTGCCAAATTTTATTAAGAAGATACTGAGGGTTCGGATTTAGAATTGAAAACAGAAATAAATTCGTGAAAAAATAAATGGGCGAAAATTCAAACAATCCACAAATTGCAGTTGTTGCAAGCATTAGAACACTGTAGTGAATTTTTCCAATCAAAAAGACATCAAAATACTTCTTCAAATATTTACCACGTTGCAAGTTTCCACAGCCACAAAAGAGAGATCTTTCTCAACATAAGGGAGATTAATAAATGACTTACGGTCCACTGTATCTGAAGTACGTTTAAGCGGTTTAAAAAAATTGAAATGTCTATAAATAGCTCAAAAATAGCTTAAATGTTTTTAAAATTTTACTGCGTCTAGAAAAACCCAATACAGGTTTTCTGTCAAAATTTCAAGTCAATTCGAACATTTTTAACAAAAAAAAAAAAAAAATTTAAAATAATAAAAGGATTGTTTTTGTAAACTTGTCTGTTCTATTTATACGTTTTTCTTTTTCCGGTTTTGCTGAATTATTATTAAAACTATAAAAAAAAAACGACTTGTTTACTCAATAGCTAAATTAAAAATGCAACAAAAAAGTCTTGTTTTTTGTCTTCTATTGGAGCAATATTTGTTGTAGAAAACATAAACCCTAAAAAACTAATAAAGAAATCTTCAACGCCGCCTCAAATTTATCAGTTTTCATTTTTCATCTTTTTCTCGATTATTGCGAAAACTATTGAGAAAATCAAAAACGATTTTTTACCATAACCATCTGGATCCAGAGTTCAGCAAAAAAGGTCAATTGATATTTTTTGAATAAAGCCACATGTTTAGTAAACAAAACATGGTTCGCAAAAGTTAAAAACAATAAAATCGCTAACGCCCGGGCTCTTCGTGAATATTAGCCGTTTTACATATAATTTTCTTTCCGGTTTTTTGTACTTATTTTGAAAACCCCTTCGGAAAATCAAAATATGACATCTCTAATGTACCAACTAGATAACATTCCCTTTCAATAAAAGTGCTACACTCCGACTTTATACATAATCAGAGCAAAATTTCTTTTCGAAGTGGTTTGCAGACGCAAAAAAATATACGCTTCATAGTAAAACCACTGTTAAAAGCAATAATCGAAATAGTAAAAATAATTTAGAAGTTTAACACAAAATCTTTTTGATGCATAAAATGTTGGGTTCATGTTAAATATTAACATATACATTTATAAAAATAGGTAGGAGTTTAAAAATTCATCTTTTATAATAATATAGGTATCTTAATATCCATTAAAAACCGATAAAAATTTGCCCGCGCATGAGAAAATATATCCATTTATGTTTATACTTATCAAAAGTTATGCATTTTTAACTTAACACTACTTATATTGCTATAATTATTCTATCATTACAGTTCATCGGTATGTAATTCAAAACGGATGTAATGCCAACAGGGCTGGCGATAGGTTAGGGCAAGCGGGACTCACGTCCAGGGCATCGCGCTTGTGGACGGAAAGGATAGCATATTAATGTGTATATTGGCGTAAAAATATTTTGAAGGTAAGAATAGCCTGTTACACGGGGGGTCAAGTGTAGCGTAGGTGTTAAGCATTACATGTATTAGATGAGAGTAGTGGTATACCTTGGTATAGATTAGGTTGAAAAGTTTTCACAGCGAATGTGAAAAACCTGGATAAAACATGGGAGAACCGAGAAAATCTTAGGAAAAACAAGAAAATCGGATCGATATTAAACAAATATTATCCTAATATGACATATATACCAATTGTTGATAATCATCACTATCAAGTGAACTCCGCTTAGAATCGTTTTTTTCATTATCAATGGTTTATTGTTGCTTACGTATATACATTAAATTCCCTTCTGTAACCTATTACCTTCCCACCTAAAACAGTGGCTGCACCCGTCCCCATTATCCTAAGACAGTTTTTTTATAATAATATTGTACCAGAATAATAATACGGTATCTACTGTATTATTATTATACAGGTATTCTCGGAGCTAATTTTTAAATGTTATCATTTTTTTAAATTTACAATTGTAATGGTATAGAAATAAAATTTCAAAATATTTACAAATGTTGAAAACAAGAACACGAATAACTTCTTTTTATTTTTCTGTTCTATACTCTTAGTACCCATTGATCCTATTTGATTGTTCATAAAATATTATATTATACTAATGAAAATAAAATGGAAAAAACGAATTAGATTAAAATAATTTATAATACTATTAACATTGGTTTTTAATAAATTAGTTATGTATAATTTTATACAAGTATGAAAAAAAAAAATATAACAAGCTGAAACTAGACTTTCAAGTGTTTTCAGTACTTATAAACAAAGGAAATAATTAAGGAATTGTTGTACAAAAAAATCTTGTACCCATTCCTTCATATTTTCGCCCCATTAACATTTTACAAATTGGTTCAAAATCATAAAGAGAAAAAATACAAATACAAATAGTAATATAAGTAAAGAAAATACAAATTATGTGATAAAAAAAAAAAGTTAAATAATGCTGAGCATAAATAACTATAGAATACTGTTGTGATCTAATTAAATAATAACTTAACGAATATAAATAAATTGGCATTCATTAATAATCTAAATAGTTTAGAACCAATTTTTACCATAAACATCCAATACACAAACATTGGAAATAATTTGGTACGAATGGCTTTTTTATTATTTTATAATTCTCATGTTAATAAAACAAACTGGTAACATTTTTTTTTTTTTATTTACTGCTTTCTGTAGTGACAATAACAATACTTACTAAAATATTAAGGTATAAAAAAAATTAAATAATAATACAAAATGAAACAGGAGATTATCTGTGCATAGATCCGTTTAAAGGTTGTAAATATGATCCATTATACGCCGATGCAGGATACACGGTATTTTGATGATGTGGATCCTGTGATGAGTGTGTTGCATACTGCAACTGACCAGTTGTTTGAGTCATGTAGCTGGCGGCTGATGGTGATGGGGGAGTGGTCTGTGGCGCCACTCTGTAACCGTTAAAAGGTGGAGCACCATACTGCATTGGCATTAAGCCCACGTTCGGTGAAGCGGGTGAACCACGTGACTGATGACCATACTGCCGAGACTGTGAGGTCTGGCCAGCCTGCTGGTACAGTTTATGGTACGCGGCTGCGGATTGTTGGAGAAGATGTGCAGTAGCCACAGATACTACGGGGGGAGGAGTCATGTTAGCTGGAGACGAGGCTGGGGACGATGCAGGTGACGAGATGTGCCTACGGTGATGGTCCAATCCATTAGTCATTTGCTGAAGTTTGGAGAGATTGCACGAAGCAATTTGTGCAGCCGTAGCAGCAGCGTGTTGATTTGGGTGTGATAAGTAAAAATCGGCTGACGAACATGATCCACCTTGTTGACCCATTCGATGTTGAATCACAGAGTGAGGATAAGGACTAGAAGGTGATGGCTGTGGCATCATATATGTAGTAGTTTGATGATGGTGATGATAAGATTGTGTATGGCTTGGCAAAGGTGAAGGTGTGGGCTGTTGAGAAGTTGGGGCAACTACTGTTTGGTTCTGTTGGGCCAATCTTCTTTGTTCGCTTTTTTTACTTCTTGATTTTGTTTGATGTACAACAGGGGATGGTGGTACTGGAGCAGGTACAGGTGGACTATGATGATACTGAGGCGGATGAGTCAAATGGTGAAGCGACAAGTGCATCATGGACTGTTCCGGGTATGATTGTTGCATAACAGGCGAGTACAAAATATTATTATCCATACTTTTCGACAAATTTGTCATATCTTTGTTGTCTTTTGGCAAGTTTGTGTTAACAGAGTCAGTTTTCTTATCAGAATACTGAATAGTTTTCTTGTCAGAATACTGAATAGTTTTCTTGTCAGAATACTGAATATCCTTGGTCATTTTAGAAACATCCGAATGGGGCATAGCAATTGAATTATTCATTTTTTGATAATTTATGAATCCCATGGGAGGCAAGTAATCGTGTAATCGTGATTTATCTACTTGAGACACCACTTCTGCAGACATTCGATATGGCAAAGTTTTAGGGGAAGGCGTTGTTCTTTTTGATTGTTTTTCAGATTTATTATTATCATATTTTGGCACGGATACAGTAGTATTATCTGCCATGGCCGAATGAGAATAAGTTTTTTCTAAAGCTTTTGTTTTTGTTTGCTGTGTGACTTTGAACACTTCTTGAGAACTATTGGCCACTGGAAGAACTTGTGAATTTTTACTATATTCTACAGACTTTTCTTTATTATAGATTTGCTTGTTTATTTCAGGTTGAATCATATCCAATTTCCTATATTCAGTTAACATTGCTTCACTGTACTGTTTTGTATCTGGTTGTACAGAAGTGTCAGTTTTATTATACTCATTGGACATTGATTCAGCATTGTATTGTTTAACATTTGACAATAATGCTGTGTCAGTTGATGGTTTACTGCAATAATCATTTGTAGTATTAATTAATGAGTTATCAAATTCTTTTTCATTGATAGAGGAAGAGGACTGTACTGGTTGTTCGGTTATTTCAGTTTTAGGAAAATTACTACATGAAGAAGTATCATTTAAAATTCTTATTTTGGACTCAGCATTTTCTTTAAATTTACTCGACAATAAAACATGCTCGTTTAGTTGTTTTGTTTCAGTTTGAATAGTATTTGTCTGTTCATAATCATTTGGTTTATTTTTATTTTCCTCTATATCTGTTGGTTCATCAAGTTGCGTTTTAGGTTGGTGTATGATATCATCAGTAGATTTTTGAGACGTTTCTAAATTGCACTCTATTTCTACAATATGATTAGAAGATTCATTATCAGATTCAGATTGTTTTATTTTAGAATTTTCCAATGTCGATTCGTGTAATGAATCGACCACATCTGATGAACATCCGTCATTTGGAAGTTCTTGAACATCAATGTTACTTACGATTTCATCAACAGTATCAGGAAGTTTACTATCTTCGGAATTAGTTTTTTCACATTCTTCATTGTAATTTCTTAATTTTTCATTGTTTTCATTATCAACAATTCCAGAACAAGTTATATTTTCAACAGAAGTGGTGGTATCAGATTCAAAATCATTCTTCTTTTCTGAACATTCTGTAATATTAATTTCAGACGTTTCCATTAATTTATTATTATCGTCCATATCGTTTTTAATTTCCTCGTCAATTTTAGTGTTTTCACTTTTTTCTTCATTTTGGTTTTCACTTTTTTCTTCATTTTGGTTTTCACTTTTTTCTTCATTTTGGTTTTCACTTTTTTCTTCATTTTGGTTGTCACTTTTTTCTTCATTTTGGTTTTCTAGACTTTGATCAATGATTTCGTGTTCATTTTCATTATTACCTTCATTAACAGATTTTTCATTTATGTCTTTTATTTCCTTCTTTTCTTCTGTTTTTATATCACCTGATCCATCTTCATTTGATTTAGGAGAGTTCTCATTTTTAATCTAATGATAAAAATAAATGATTAAAAGAAGATTTATTAACAAATCTAGTTTGTATCTACTAACACTAATATATTTACTTACAAGCTTTAAATCGATATTATTGTCAATTATTTCAACTTCATTCTGCAATTCAATTGTCTTTCGTGATTTTTTAACTTTAGGTTCACAATCATCACTTTGGGTTTTAGGTGCAGGTCTTTTACGGGATCTACCTCTACCGAACTTCCTCTTCTTTTTTTTAGGTACAGCAGTACCTTTTGTGTTGGATGTATTTTCTCGTTTCAGGATACTTGAAATCAAACTGAAACAATTTTATTATATATTTATATCTTTTTATATGTAACTAAAATAACAATTTCATACCTTTCTTTAGTTTTTGTAGGAGTTTTAGTCTTTGTTGTCACTTTTTTAATATCTTCATTACTCTCTTCAATAAACTGTTCTTTGTTATCCTTTTGTATGGATTTCTTAATAGGTTGTAATTTTGGTTTAGATTTCTCAGATGATTGTAATTTTGGTGTAGACTTCTCAGTAGATTGTAATTTTGGTTTAGACTTTTCAGTAGATTGTAATTTTGGTTTAGACTTCTCAGTAAATTGCACTTTTGGTTTTGACTTTTCAGTAGATTGTAATTTAGGTTTCGACTTCACATTAGATTGTAATTTTGGTTTTAACTTCTCGGTAGATTGTAATTTTGGTTTAAACTTCTCGGTAGATTGTAATTTTTGTTTAGACTTTTCCGTAATATTATTTTTTTCAATTGGCTGTACTTCTGTTTTTATATCAATATGTCCATTTTGTATTTTCTCAATAGATGCCTGTTCTAGATTTACTATGTTTTCGACATGTTGATCAAATTTAACTGCTTTTTCTGCAGCAAATAAACAAACACGCTTTTTTTTATTTGTTTTTCTCCGTCTCTTAATCATAGGCATTCTCCTAACACACCTCTTCTTTTTGATCGGACTTTTGATTATTTCAATTTTTATGGGAAGAGGTTCTTCAAAATCTTGGTTATCCTTGAAACAAAAATTATTAATTAATACATATTTTATCATTTTTAATTAGAAAAACATACTTTAGCATCCAACGAAACTGCTAGATTAGACGATGGCATCAATGGAGTCCATCTTAAACATTCTGGTTCAATGGAGATATGTTTAGACAAATTTTTCCTTTTCATATGAGCATTAACTATTGCCCAGTCAACACAAATTGTCAACTTATCACCATTATTCCCAACCATATTGAGCGATTGTAATGTATAGGTAATATCATGTCTCATTAAACCTAAATTAAAATAAAACATTTTGTTATTTTGTTACCTTTTATTTTAACTTTAAATGTATAGTAGAACTAATTACCAGTCTTAATGCTAATATCACTAATACAGATACTTTCGCTATTTCTTTGTTTGTCTAAATATTCCAGTACAACAGCTTTCCAGTATGCATGATATGAAACTTGTCCCAAGTCAGAAAGTGGTTTTTCCGGTGTTCCAGGCTGCCCTTCTATTTTAGATAGGAGATAGCCTAAAAAAAAAATTGATACATATCCATTGTAGAAACTATAATTGTCAAACTTATAAAATATTCAGTTTTATTTAATTTCAGACATACTAAATTCTATGAGGAATCGCCCAAAGCCTTGTCTTTGATACTGAGGCATGGTTAAGATACAAGACACATTATACTTTTGTTGACAGTGTTTTTCTTTTGAAAAATAACCAACCAAATGACAGCCCTTAATATTCATAAAATACAATGTTATAGTACTTGCGCTCAAATGATTAGATATTTGCATACTTACATGAGCGTCATTTTTTGTCAAAACATAAAATAGGAAAGGTTCGACATCATAGTAAAGAGTTTTGTGGTCTAAAAATAATTTTGCTAGTAGACATAATGTTTGACAATAAATTTTATTGGCGTTTCCATCTACCTATAAAAAAAATTATCCAATTAGTTTTTTCATTATTTAAATGACAGTTTACAATATTAATTTACTTCAAAAACGCTCAGATCGCCACACCGATAAATTTCTGTGGCAGGCGGGTGTCTCCAGTTACAGTTATGCATATGTCTTTCCAAAACAGATTTACTCTTGGTATATTTCAGACAAAACTCACACAGGAACAGTTTAGGAAGTCTAGCATATTCTTGAGGAAAAGGCGATGAAAACCATGTTTCCACTTCATATTTACCTAATTGAATTGCAGCAGGACATCTTACAGGATGATTAGACGTTGTCGAGAACTCTGGAGCTTGAACTGTGCTCTAATAACCAAATAAAAAAAAATTTTAATCACATACTTTAAAATTAAAATTAATTATGTTACATTGATAGCTCGTGTTCTTGTCTCCTTATAAATTTCTACGTCCTCGTGTAGAACTCCAGATGGTAAATCTGATGCAACAAGTCGGCTCATATTTTCCAAAACTGAAAATTGTATTAATATTTGTAATTAGGATTGATTAGTTAGTATGCAAAACAAAAAATTATTGTAATTCTATATTAATAGTTAAAGAGCATGACAAAAATAAGAACTATATACAAAATTATGTGATAAAATAGGATTAAAACAACAATTTTCAAACTTCAACTAATAAATAAATTAAGTACCTACTCAATAAACAATTAAATAATAATCTCTAAAAAGTATGCGATAGTGATGTGATAGTAGTTATTTGTTTGTAAACACTTATTACCATCTATTTTATACATTTTATTTTTCATTGAAATTTTACTCATAAAAATGAAAACATAATTCTGATATACTCTATGCCACTAAACTGGATATATTATAATATGATTACAAAAGTATGTATCATTTTTAAAAGTATTTCAATAGTTGAGAGAGCACCCAATGCTGTTCTTATCTTTATTGTTTTAAGAAATAAATGCCAAATCCAGTAGGCACTTTGCACATTTTTTATACATTTGTAGACTATGTAATTAAGTAAAATAAGTTTTGATTGAAATATTTTCTAAACACTTTTTTTTAAGAATTTGAAATGTATTTTGAGTGAATAGTATTGGCCAAGTTGAGATATAAACATTGTTATCAATCAGCGTAATAAGGTATCTGATTAACAGTGTATCATATAAAGTACTATAATACTATATGTAAGAGAAGCTGGCTTCTAAAGTTTGGCTGATGGATGCGTGTGCGTGTGTGCAATCATATATTTGATAACATATATTATGATAATTTATCAATACTTAAATTTTATTTTAATAGTGTAATAACCTTAGATCATATACATTGGATGGTAATTACAAATCATGCCTATAGAACAAGTTGAAGCCAATATAACTATAGAATCTGACATCTGCTAATCCATCTGTTTTCCCCTTAGATCATAACATAAAATACTTTAAAAACTGGTGTTTATATTCGTGGTAAAATTAAAATGTTTAATAAAAGGCTATGCCACATGTAACTGTGCAATAGTTATATTGACTTCATGGTTAATGTATATCATTTAAGGTAATATTAAATTATACTTGAAAAATAATTAACTACTATAAGTAAATAAATATTTTAATAAACAAGGAAATGTTAATGTCATATTTTATATTACTTACAGATTTTCAAAATAATACAAATACAAAAAAAATCAGCAAATTATAAGTCAGATTGAACTTATCCCAGGCCTAAGTAATGAGAATTAATTTAGTGATATAAATCAAGAAAAAAATAGCTGAAGTTGCTGCTCTATGAACAAAGGGGAAAATATTTGTCTTAAAAATAAAATAAAACTACAAATGCTGTCGGTACAAGAGTGAGCATTATATATTGGGACTAAAAAATAAAAATAGTAAATGCCTCAATATTCATACATACGGCTAAAGTTCTTTGCTTTTAATTAATATTTAATATTATTATAAGATTTATGAGGTTATTTATAAGGTTTATGATTAATTAAGTTACACATGAAAAATATGGAATTTTTCTTCATTTTCCCCCTTCAGTATAATACTGTATTATACATTTTTAAGATAAATCAATGCAAAAATAAATTAATGACAAATATTTCCATCTATTTATTTTGTTTAGTCATATACTTGAACTTTTACTTTTTATAGCATACTCAAATACTAACATAAATTCATACTCACACTTAGTGGTGGCAAATTAAACTGTTTGCTTAGGACGTCAATTAAATATCAACCAGCCCAATAATTTTATTCAAATAAACATAATTAACAAGACTTAGATTTATTATGACTTAATAACATTTCCTTATTTGTTAAACTATTTATTACTACTATTATTATACAAACTATTTATTAAATAAAATGTTTTAAAATAGCATGATTTTAGAAAATAGTGTTGATAATTTTGTTCAGTTCTGAGTGCTGCGGTGAAAGAAGGGAAAATACAATAGAGAATACATTGGACAAGGAAAAGTTTTGCTGCTTATAACCGTGAATCTGTAAGGCGCTCTATAATCATGGCGTTGTAGTAATAACTGATAACACTGTTTATAAGCCACCCCTGCTATCACAATAAATTTCAAATATCATTTTAAACAATCAAAATAATTGACGAAGTTAAAATTGAATAATAAATTATTTTACACATTTATAAAAAACTATACAACACAATAATCTCAATTACTGTCAATAAATTTGAATTAATTTTAGAGTTAAGACAATTTGACAGTCTCCATTAATAACAGGATATAAAAATAATATTCCTAGACAAAAATATTCTAAAACTGTCACACGGAGATGTTAAAAAAAAAAAAAAAAAAAAAAATGAAATTCAAAATGGTTTCCATGTGAAATTACAAAATTAACAAATAAAATCTTGATTTTAATTCAGTGTGGATATTTTTTTTTAATCTGAACTTTCCTTCCACATATTCAGTCTAGTAAATTATACAAATAAATGTAATAATACAATCATTGTACAACATAATATTACTCAACATCTACATACTATGTTCGCTTGATCGATTCAAAGGAACAGAAATAACCTACAGCATGCAACGGATTAAAATTTATAACATAATAAGCCCTTATGAATTATGGTAGTATTTTTATGCAGCTGGCGAATACTAGCAGGATTTTGTAAGGAACTTGCTTACCCGAACGGGTGACTAGACGTATCGTCGGCACAGACAGACGGTCACGGAAGGCGGAAGGAGAATTGTCTAAGGAGTTATCAATATCGTCAAGCTTTTGTTCACCCACTGACCCAGCTACCTCCCTTGTTTCCATCATTTTGGATGATATAGCAGATTTAATTAAGAAACTGGGAGATTGTTGTTTATCGGGCATTTTAATATTTTTATCTACACCAGTGACTTTAGAATCAGTTTTACTTATTACAGTTTTTGGGTCTTTGTCATTTCGAAATCGAGTACGAGATTGTAACGGTGTTGAATAAAAATGACTTAATCCATCAAACAAACCCTTCAACTGGATAAACCCAGCAATTGGTTTGTCTTTTTTACTATTACTAACTTCAAGTTTATTATTAAGTTCAATTGGTGCCTTGGCAGCCAAAGCAGCAAAGCCCCAGGGATCAGTTGATGTATCTGTCAATAATTTTTTGAATAAAGAAATCGGACAACCAGAATCATGTAATGTGGAAGGTGATAAAGGGAAGATTTTAGGCTGTGACGAATGAACCTTGGCAATTAATTTTGGTGCTCTTAACAAAACTTTAGGGGTGGTTTTAGATTGATCATCACAGTTTTTATCATTTTTTTGCATTTCACTAGGACATAGTATCTTTTCATTTATTCGTTTTAAATGGTGTACATGTTTTTTGGAGGATTGAACAGACTCAGACAGAAAGCTGTTGCAGGTTTTAGAGGATATACTAGAAAGATTTTTAGTAAAATCGGCATTCCTTGCGGCGGGACATTTTGAGAGAGGAAACACGGGCCGGCTTGGACGCACAGCAGAAAGAGAACAAGCATGCGCACTGCTGCTACTACTGCTGCTAGAGCTGTTACTATTGCTAGAGCTACTGCTCGTGCTACTTGAACTGCTGCTGCTGCGACTGCGACCGCTCGAGCTTGAACTAGAGCTGCTCGAGCTGTCGCTGCTGCTAGAGCTAAGGCGCTTGTTCGTGGGGGCATTGACTTTCGGCACACCGGATCCTCTCCCGTTCACACCTCGCGCATTAAACGCAACACTTTGCCTAAAGAATTTTGCTTTCTCCTTAGAGATAGCATTGTCCCGCCGCCGCATATTGCCGCTAATCGGAACGGGAGAGGGGGGAGCCGAGGAGTCAGGAGAGGAGACATTACCGTCTTCCGTGACATCACGTTGTTGTTGCATTGAATTCAAAATGGATGGTACGCCAACTCGATTTTCTTGCGCTTTTGTGTGATGCATTCGTCCACGGCTTGATCTATAAGTTTAACATTAACAGTTTTCATTTGGTAAAGGAACAATAATCAAGTAAATAATATTTTTATAAAATAAAGCATTAGTTTATTAATTTTTTTTTTTTCTTGTTTAAACTATAAAGCTTTTTATAAATTTGATATGAACGTTCACAAAATGCTTGGATAGTAAAAAGGCCAATGTAAAAGAAAAAAAATAAGACACCAAAATTATTAAAATTAATATTTTTATTATCGTTTTAAACATTCAATTTTTTTTCAATACCTTCAAGTCATCCAAGTTCTGAACCCAATATACAGGATATCTCACGAAGATATACTTATTATAATATCTTCGAAGATAATAAAGATAATCAATTCTGTTTTTTTTATATAACTCATGGCGATAAGGACTACAAATATTTATATTGAAATTTATTTTTATTTTTTAATAAAAACTTAAAAAAATAACTTATTATTTTATTATTTTTTGAAAATTGAAGATGGCCATTTTATAGTTTATTATTCTGAAAATGTTGACTTTTTAACTTTTATTTTTATTAAATTCATGATATTTAAGAAAATTTTTTAAAATTCAGAGAAAAGTACATTAAAATTATACAGCAGGCTGTAACTGCATTCATTAATTAGTAAATAATTAAAAATCATGAATGAAATGAAAAGAACATTTTTTATTAAGTTTTTACCAAAACAAAAAATAATAATTGTAATATAAATATTTGTAATCTTTATCACAGTGAGTAATATAAAAAACCAAAATTGTATCTTTATTATTTCTGGAAATATTGCAATGGGTATATCTTCATGGGACACTCTTATATTAAGTAAACATAGAAAAATAAAATTTTGAAAGTAAGTAACATACCTTCGATTTTTGAGACTAGATTTTCTTTTTCCTTTTCTTTCTGTCAATGGTTCTAATTCAACAATAGTAGTTTCGTGATGATCTAGGCAAAATGAACATCGCCATGCAGATTTTGGTTTATCATCAGCTGGAGGTTGTAAACATTGCATATGATATCCTCGATCACAAGTATCACAGTTTAACAAAAACATCTATAAAACGAAAAAAATATAAATAATAAATCAGATAAATAAATATCTGATATAGATTTTTATTCAAATATGTTACGTACATGTTCAGTGACTGAACACGATGGTATTGCTGAACACGTTCTACAATCTTGACAGAACCATCGAGAACCACGAGCCAATAAACTAGTTAATGGTCCACTACCCTTAAGTGCCAAACAAGAAGGATGTAATGAAACGCCACAACCTCCGCGGCATCGTTTTAAATCTTCCGCTTCGCCACATTGATTTCTTGCTGCTGTACCCAAACAATCGGCACATACATTTTGATCAGAATTCTATACAAAAATTAAAATATATTAATATTCCTAGGTATAAAGACAAATAATTTTACTTTACTAAATTTTTATCACTTACTTCATTATCTGTAAGTGAACTAGTGTCGCAAACAGATAACTTTTTTCTTTTTCTTCCGGCTCTACGAAGTGAAAGGGGAGTTTCAGTTTCATTTGTATCTACTTTAGAAAATCGTCTTCTTCCATAACTATATTTCGGTGTTCCGTATATTGATGTAGTGGAATCTGGACTAAAGGGTAACCTATATAATTTGCCATCTAATACTAATAAACCCTTATCAACCGCTTTGTTTAACGTAGACTTTAACAATGTGGTTAGATCACATTCGTCATTTTTAAATTCTAAAGAATAGGCATGATGCATGTACCGGTCAATGTTTTTGTACGAAGAACCTTCTTCATCGAATTGACCTACCACTTTCACTAAAATCTTAGTCAAATCAGTATCTGCATTAATGACCAATTTACGACTTACAGTGCCATCGGGGTTTATGTAAGTGTTTTGGCCTTTGTTAAAAACTTTTAACACAGCACCGCTTTCGACACATCGTTCGACTTGTGTTTCAATGTCACCCACCGAGAAACGGTGATGTTGACGTATTGCATTGATAATACGTTCCAAAGATGGCCGTTGTTTTTGGCCACGAATTTTGTTGACTGCTTCCAAAACCCACTTTTGCCATTGTGAAAAACTTACAATGGCATTCTCCTTTTCTTTGGTTGATTCGTTCATTTTTCCTAAAAATTAGGAACATTTTTATTTTATTTTTTAAAAATATTTAATAATTTACAGCCTATAGTTAGATAAACAATTGTCAGTTTAGATGTACAACTATTTTAACAGGTAAATGAGTATTTTTAAATGAATTGAATTACCTAGAACTATTTATTACTTATTCAGTAATCAATTAGGTACTAGAATGGGAATAATTACAAATAATATTTGCTGCATAATTTAAATGTTAGGTATATTACAATGGGTACCTAGACATCTAATAAACACAATTATTTTTGTAATTATGAATGCTTATACCTAGATAAATTTTATGAAATTTTATTACATAATAAATTTTACTTACAAGTGATACTACAGTACAAAAATGTAGGGAAAATAATAAGTTATTATCACAATTTACACGCCTGATTAGCTAGGTACTTATTATTATTATTGTAATTTATAGACGATATTTGGATGAAAAGACTTCAATGTTTTAAAATTTTTGAGGTTATGTATATAATAAACTTTTGAGGTTAAATGATGTTAACTTACTCAGAAATATGCTTCAAAACAGACGAGTATAAAATTATAGAATACAGTTGTTAGCTTATAAAAGTGAATACAAGTGTACAACCGTCTTGTTATAAATACGAAAAAATCGATTGGAAATTCCACCACTATCAAACGAACAATGTAACGTCCGGACAAATTAATAGGTAAATACTTCCTCCATTATTCGTCATTATCATTTTAACGAGTCGATAAAAAAAAAAATATATTAAACAAAATTCTATTCGATCGAAAATAATATCACGACGTTAAGCATGTCCGCCGAATAAGAAAATGAAAAAATCGAATATCAAAATTAATTTGAAAAAAAAAAAATAAAAAAACGTCCTATCAATATTGTCTATGTATTTTTGACGTGATAATAACACAATTCATTATCATCATTATCATCATTATCATCATCATCATCATCGATGTTTGGTTAAATTCGTTTCGATTATTCGAATTATTATTATTCCGTGTGATAACGGTTGGCGCGGCACACCGGATAGATATTATAATAAAAATAATAGGATATTTATGAATTAATTTATGTATTGATTCGGAAATCCGAGTATATACCACAAAGGAATGTTTTATTATTATTATTATTATTATTACTATTATTATCATCATCGTTGTTATCGTGCGATGATGACGCGATCGGAGAGTATGTGCGCGCGACATCGTGTCGATTGCCGTGCGTCACGCCAGAGAGTGTCGCTCGTGAAAATGAAACCGACCAGAAAAGGATTCGATAAACTACGCATTACTCACGACGGCGGTTCCGGACGTGGAAAAAACGCAAACGGTTCACTATACCGAATAATAATAACACGGATTCGCGTCGACGGCGACAGCAGCCATTTTGGCGAAGGACGACACCGGGGCGGCGGCGGCGACGGCAGCAGGGGAACAAAAGCAAAACACCCTTTCCCCGCCACAACTGCCGCCGGCTGCGCGACGTCTGCTCCCTCCAAATATTTGACCCACATAATAATATACATAAACGGTACGTACAAAAATTTCGTAAAATTATCGTAAGGCCCCGTATGTACGCGGGCGAGCGCCCCGGCCAAAAACGTCGTCGTCTAACGGCCGGCGAACCTGCGTGCCCCTATTTGACGACAACGAATAGACCGAAAAAAATCGGTTATTAAAAACGAAAAAACTCACCTTGTTCAATCGATACTGCGCAATTGTTTGTCCGTCCGCGTACATCGTACATACCGTCGTGCGCGTAGCGTTTATTATACAAACGACATACCACATACGCGATAGGTACTCCGTATTATTATTATTTATTGTTCGTACGGAATCGGTTCGGTCGTTGCGCGCGCGCTGCAACGGTACGCACGCACGCACAAGCACACACGCACACTCACACAAACGCAGACAAACGATAACGCGCGCGAAAGGTGACGACGGCGGGGCTGTTCTCTTCCCGTTGACTCTACTCGGGACTTCTCACGGCGGCGGCGGCAACCTCAAACCGCCGTGGTGGTGGTGATGATGGTGGTGGTGGTGGCTGCGGCGGCGGCGGTGGTACAACCGGCGGCTGTTGTAGACAACAACGTCCGTTCGCATTGTACTCGTCGTCCGTTATAGTGTCGCGGCGCGGCGTCCGCGTCCGCCGTCATCGATGGACGGCAACGACGACGCCCTTTCGCGGGTACCTGCAGAGTAACGATATTGTTGCGCGACCCGAAACACGACGATTAATAATTGTACGACCTAATAATGCACACGCCGTAATCGTATTCGCAATAATTGTCCGTAAATACTATTATCGTTATTCCGAGTCGCGATTTTCGAATAGAGACGGTAAGTATATTACGTAGGTAATGTAAACGCAACGACTATAATATTATATTGTTAACGAAATAACGGGTACTAGGAACTCGGGAAAATAGTGTTTCACTATCGGTATTTTAATATTGTTATTTATCGTCGAAACGAAACGCGACGTGCGCACACTCACTGACTGACGGCCCGACGATGGTGAACGGGGAAACAACACGAATGGCGCGCAGCCGCACAAACGCGTCCGAGAAGATGGCCGTCCGCAACGATTCCGGGTCGGTTACACCGGGGATCAGGTTGACCAACGTACGTTTGACGGTATAATTTACGACTAGCCGTTCCCGCGTAAAACGTCCCCTCGTTATCAACCGCTCGTTCGGAGATTCAGAGTAGCCCAATAATGACGTGACGATGATCCATTGCTACTTGACCGTTAATATAATATAGGTATTGTACACCGCGAACAGACCGCCGACAAGGCGCCCAAAAAGACAAACTTCCGGTTGCCTATAGCCGCCCCTTATGGGTAACTGTTTTTGAACAATAATCCGTGTGTTCCTAAATCAATCTGCCAATCCAGCAGATTTATAGAGTTTAGGAGGGACGTTCCTTTTTTTTATTCAGTTGGAACATATTGGTTAATACCATTACCTATTTACGGTTACCAATAGGCCATAATCACTAATATTTTATTCTTATCATTTTTCGTTATTTTCGTCGAGATATAGTCTAGAAGTATAAACTATAAAACATTTGATTAAAAATTACAATAAGATATAATATAGGTACTACATGATATATTATATACTAGGATTAAATGATACACAAATCAAGTTAGCATCTAAATGATTTATCTTTATGTTTAAAAGTACTTCCATTGTATTATACATTTAGAGTTTTGGATTTGGAATTTGGAAACACGTTATCACAGATAACGGATTTTAACGCAACATATATATTTTTTTTTGTTCTGTCAAATATCGGTTAGTAAATTAGTTTTAAATTTGTCACGTAAAATGTTTATCACATCTATTTGGTTAAACACTATTCCATCCGAAAAATATCAGATTTCTGATAAAGCGATCCGATTATCACTTACCCTCCTGCGGATTGGTCAGCAACTGAGTTTAGGAACAGTTAAATCTAGTAGCTGAACAAACTGCTGAATTTAAGAACTATAAGTGTTGAATTCCAGGTATATGACAGGAGGCGGTAACTCTCCCTGGAATAATTGTTTGCCCTTCACCCTATTAAACGTGGATAAATTAATAATTAATTAAAAATCTTAGATAAGCAAGGAAAAAAGTAATTACTATAATTTTAATGAGGCCCCTCCCTCCACAGAAAAATAGTTTGGATTCAACACTGACTATAAAACAGTAAAAGACTATGGAAGCCCACGTCATAAACGTGAGGCGTACACATGTGAACATATTAAAAAACAAATAAATGTCGGTATGTAAAAATGTAATACCTATTACCTGCCTAATGAAAAATTGAAATTTGTATATTGTTAATGTACAATAGTTAAAATAATAATGTCTCAGTAAATAATATCATTAAATGTTTTCACTTTAGCTACAGTCATATCAGTTGTAATTTGTATAAATTATTTAAAATCTGTTTTCCATATTGGAGGAAACTATAGATAACCACTACGGATCTTAAAAAACTACATTGCACCATAGATATTAATGAATGAAAAGGCCATCTATGCTTATCATACGGGAACGAAAATGAAAATAAAAATTATAGAGGTTTAACGCAAATATATCACAGTATTCGGAGATGATAATTTATTTTTAAATAATGACAATATAATTTAATAATTTATATTCATAATAATGTTTTTATCATAATAAGATTTATAATCTCCAATATCTACGTCTTGCAATGATAATAATCACAGAATATATCTTTTGGTAATTCTGCCAGAGTGAGAATCATTAATAAAACAGGCTTTCTCTTCCCCATTCTGGCACATTTCCCTCTATTTTGTTGGTTTAGCCCACGGTCTTAAATTATCCCAAGGTTTATAGATAATATAGATAATATTATCTATAAACTTAGATATAGCCATAGCTTACCAATTCTTTAATATTCATGCATTATACTCAATTATTTTGTTTGGTCAATCACTGGTTACGTGACAGTCTGTTAAAACGACAGATATATTATAAACAAACTAGATAATCGACTACGATAATAAAAATGAAGCTGGTCGTCATTTACTAAGAGTGCAAACAATGGTATCAATAATATTGATACATTATCACTTTTAAACGGACATTTCTTCCAAGTTCAAATATTTGTTTTCTAAATGCAAATTCCCTATACCTTCTATTTGTATAGGTAATAAATTACTTAAGATTAATTAAGAATATTATTATTACTACCCGTCCTATTTAATCTACGATTATACATACATTTACATAAAACGCCCGTTCACACACCAATGAACAACCATCGTTGTTTATTAAATTTCCGGATTTCGGCAAAAACCTATTTGAAAAATAAATTTAATTTGATTTTAGACTTTTTGTACTATTTTGTTTTTTTAATTTTTGTAGTTAATAGAGGTGGGTAGTTCATGAGTGAGTTGACTCTTTGAGGCGAACTAAATGAATTAATTCAGTTTGGTATAGTTCAGTAACTCAGTGCTACCACTGGTTCAAAACAATGATTCACGAATCACGGATGTGTGTTATCAGTCCGACAATTCGCCTATACAGCCTGCTATGCCACAATATACATAATATGAAATTCTATTATTGTGTAATGACAAGTGATGTTATGATATATTAAATAAGTATGTCGGCAACTTGTGATGGCAGTGATACTAAAACGTAAAATGCATAGATAATAGATAATATACTAATATTGAATGATATAAATGTATAATCGTATTATGTAGTACAAGCACGTTGCAATTGTTGCAAGTCATTTAGTAATTTAATATATTTTGCGTTAGTGTTTGTTTGGAATAAATTTCTTTTTTCATGTTTGACAAAACAATATTACCGGAAGCATGAGAAATAGAAGATATTTAATATATTATACAATAGGTATTAAGATACCTATAAGTATTTAGTATATATTATTATGATATACCTACTTAATTAAATTATAAAAGTATACGACAAAATATATTGTATTTATATTTTACAACCAAACATTCAGATATAAACCTATTGTATTAATATATCATACATCGTAATGAACAATGACTTCGAAGAAGATTAGAGCGACAATTATTTTGTTTATTGAAGTATGCATTATCAAATAGAAATATTTTGGAAAACAATCTAAAAATAAAAATAGTTGCTGGTAAAAAATTGCACAAGACTAATTCAAGTACTATTGGCTGTGTAAGTACCAAGTAGGTATAAACTAAACAAAAAAAACATTGTTTTGAATAACAGGGTAATTGAAAACCTAACTTATATTTTAGCCCAGAGATGTCACAAGTTTACGTTTAAAATATGAAATACACTTAATCGTCGTATAAATTATTATTTGGTAGAAAATATATAGTAAACTATATATTAACTATGTGTATATATATATATATGAACTTAATAAGTTATTCTACACTTTTCATTAAATAGCTTTACTAGTTTACTCAGACATGGAAAACCGAAAATTATCAATTTTTTTTTATCTGTCAAATAACTCGTGTTATCGACGAATAAATGTGATTGAAAAACCGGTTTATAATGAAATGAACTGGAAGCTTGAGAGTTAACTCACTGAGTTGATGATTCGTGATAAGGAGAATTGTTTAATTAATGAACTGGCAACTTAGGAGTTAACTCACCGAGTCAAAATGAACTGAGTTGATGAGTTTATGAATGAGTTTAAAATGAACTGATTCATGGTATTGAGTTGAAAATCCCATCACTAGTAGTTAACAATAATAACTATCAATTTATCATATTCTTGTCACGTCATTTGTTTGCAGTTTGCATTTTTAGGATATGGCGGCCAACTTAACATTTTTGTTCATAATTACCCACGATATATAAGAGTCGGCTATCTGGTTTGCATATATATCTGTGGTTAACACATTTAAGAACTGATAATAGTATTACTTTTACGTAACCAACGTATAACCTACAAATTGTTCTGATTACGGTATAATCCTATAAGAGCTAGCCGATAAAATTAAACAATTTATGATCTCTCCAAGTTTAAAAATGATCAGATCGTTTTTTAAAAAATTAGGCTCGTCTAGGGAAAGCTACAAGTTCAAATAAGCACACATCTGATGTTTCACGTGCCCGAGCAGCTGCTGTATTCATCGTGATACATCACTTTATTAAAAAAAAAAAACCCGTTGGTAGATAACAAAATTCTATTTAAATCGAATGCAGTATGGTGTGAAACTTATAGAAGACATGGGACATGAAGCCATTGAAAATACAATCAGAAATTTTACAAGACTGAAAACTTTACAATTTGAGCACTTGAAATCATTAATTGAGGTACAGGTGAAGAAAACGAGAATGAAATTTGTTGTGGTAAAGTGGAGATTCCCTATTCCACAAAAAATTTTTAGTACCAAACAATTGTATTAAATCATGACACTTTTCGTTATCCATAGTAGTACGCGATCAAAATAACAACGAAAATTTCCAACTGCTCGTGAGCAATTAACTGAAGCTCCTTTGCCGAATGTCTAAATACCGACACAAGTTGGCTCACTTAGCAACGCGGTATCCATTTGGCGGAGTTGCCGAGCAAGCCAATTTTCGAGGGTTTTGCCTCGCGTATTTCATGCCCACCCTTACTCGATTTTAAATTTAAGTCGTGGGAAAAAAAAGAATCATTACTTTTTTTCTTCCCGAACACCCCTTTTTGCTTATCACATGTTGGCTGAGTAATATTCAGTGGACGCGGTCCACTAGTTAATATATCCATGGGCCAAACGGTCGATCGTCATCGACCAGTGGATTGCGCAGATGATTTAAATGTCAATCTTCATTTTGTTAGAATTTATTTTTATGTAATTAGTTGATAAATAGCAATTGCTTGTCATTTTTATCTTAATATATTATCTTTATTTTGTTGTAAATTTATCAAGTAATACAATTCAACAAAATTTATCCTGGCAATTGTATTTATAATATTATATTAGTCTTAATAATAGTGAAAAATATTATTTAACTAAACATTTTAGTTTTATTATTTTGTACTTATATGTTTATTATTAATACCTATTAGGTAACTTATAATTATACATTTTTGTTAGGAAATCGATCCAAAAATATATTCTTAGTAGATCTCTAAGTTTAAGTTTAGCTACCCCTGCTATATCGCAAAAAAAAAATACATAAAGATGTTGAATGTTGGTGGTCTACAAATAAACTATTTAAAGGACATTTAATATAAAATAAAATGAAATTATTAAAGCCCCCTCTGATCATAGTGACGTTGCTGACATAGTTCAAAACGAAGCGAAAATTATAGTCGAAAACAATAAAAAACGTGCCGTTAAAACTTAAGATAATCCTAGAGTTACAATAAGTGAGTCGTCTTTGTTTGTTGACATTTTCTTCATATTGTGGAATGATTATTATAACATTCCGGCACTTCAATACTTAACAGGTATGGCGTACAATATACAATTACAAGTATGATACATAAAATATACATATAGTTTATTTCTAATTCTTTATTTAAAACATTTTTAATTATTTTTTAAATATATTTTAATCATTTTAATTTTTTTATCGCATATTATCGTATACATAATACGTGTAACTAGGATTTCCATCTTTGAAAGACGACTCGGGGAATAATTATTCACTGTTAATCACTGAACACGTAGCCCGTAGATTTATATATAAAACCGGAGTATCCGGGTGAAACCCAGAGAGGTGGCAAACCTTCGTGACACATTTTTTTTTTAAATCTATGTAATGTTGAAAACATAAATTTAACTTAGTAAATTAAAAATTAAAAATAATAAAATATACCATATATATACTGTTTTATAAACTTTATGATTTAATATTATCTTGTAAATTATTCTTTATTTTGATTATCATCAATATGTTCCTCATTTGGTCCAATTTCTTTTTTTGGTTTTCTTATAGTTTCATCAGGTTTTTTCTCAGTGGGAATCGTATTTTTTTCAGGTTCTTTCTTTTTGGGTACTGCATTGTTTTTGTCTTGAAATACCTTTCTAAAAAAAAAAAAAAGGAGCTGATACTGCTGACGAGTGCACCATTGTTGTAGGTGAGAAGCTGAGAAAGTAGAATATATGAAGTGATTTAATTTATCACAACTAAAAAAAGCTCATATTAATAATCTGTAAACATTTTAGATCTATACAATTATTTTTAATCAAAAAATACAACAAGAAAAACATTGAAGAAAACTAAAGGATAACATCACATCTTCAATACTGCACTAACTAGCTTACATTTGCTTTCAGAAAAATTTGTCCACCAGAAAGTTTTACTCCAATTTAAAAGTGTAACTTATTTTCTGAAAGGAAATTTAACTTGGGTGGTATGTTACGTAGGTCTTTTTTTTGATTTTTCAAGGAGTTTTCATAACAAATGGGAAGAACGGGAAATATATTATTTTACGGTCTTTTAAAACATGTATAACCGGACTCCACTTAGAATCGTTTTCCGTTAGCAATGATTAATCTTTTCCTACAGATATACATTACATTTTTTCTCTACCTTCCCAATTTCTCACCTACTACAGTGGCTCAACCATCGTGCGAATTATGTCCATTTATTTTTTAAATAACCGTTTGCATTAAGAATTGAGAAATATTAGAAAATAAATTATTATTGAATATATTTATAACTACTTATAAAAAATTACATTGCAAAAATAATATGTAATTGCTTTTATTTATTTATTTTATTAAAGTCTGAAGAAAATTGTTATTTGTAAGCGATATTTTTTTTTGTGCACACTATTTCTAGTAATTATTATAATATAAATGATTTTAATTATAAAGAAATTGATTTTTATATCAATTTAGGAATTAACATTTTTGTATTGATTGTAAGGTGCAAACTTTATTAAATTGGTAACAGATGATTTTCACGAATTTATTTTTACATAATTGTTAAGAATATCTTATGCTTAACATGACATAATACACTATACATAAAATTTATAATATGTTTTAAAATGTGTAGTAATAATTATTTAACCAATATAATTTTAGAAGTAACTTTAAAAAATAGTACATACTGAGTTATAAATCCCATTAATCTGATTGAATAATTTTCCGGATCTTGAATGGATGATACATGAGCATCCGTAATGCGACCTAGAGCGTCAGATATAACTTCTTCACATACTCTCGTTGTGTTGTATTTTTGTAAAATATCAATAATTCCAATATATACTATGAATTTAGGCCCATTACTTTCAGCAGTAGGTGTAACTACTACGATGCCATTTCTAAATCCATGTAGGTGCGATGTTTTTTGGGGTAAATCTGCTGTGATTAATAATAAACTATAATCAATGAGTCTTGCTTTGGTTAAAAATGTAGTATCTTTTTTTAAAGTTTCTGAAAGCTCAGCATATATATTGGGTGATATTTGTAAACCAAACGGATACTTGAGTTCAAAGTTACCTTCTTTGAGCTCCTTCTTTGGAAATTGTGTGCTTAATTCTATTCTACCAGCACCTTTAATATCATATTTTTCATTTTTCTCATATGGATATATATTCGAAAAAATTACAAAATAAGTAGTGTCACTTTTAAATTTTACTGAATATATACCGGAGAAATCTGGGAGTAAACTGTCTGGATAGTTGCAAAAATGAACAAAATATTTCAAAAGAAATGACTTTATAACAGTTAGTTCGCCTGGATCCACAGTTTTAATCAAAAATTTATTGTTTTGTGTGGAATAAAATGTAGCTCCACCTTTCCCTGAGTTTGATATTGACTTCAACTGTAAGGTTTCAAAAGAATCATTAAAATCTTCTGTAATATTATATAATTGTCTAAAACTCTTAAAGTTTAGAGGTGCAAATGTTTGAACTGTGACATCTTTATAATCAATCAAGTTTATAAATTGATAATCCTTTTCAAAAAATGTTGGATTTTCGTATTTATTGTAACAATCTGTAATACTTCTACGAATTCCTGTTATGAGGGCTTGTTTCAGAACAGATGCAACTAAATTTAAAAAAAATAAATGTATTAGTTAGATTTATATTTTTATTGCATAAATAACTTATAGTATGAAGTATAGAAAAAGTAAAGAGCTGATTTGAAAAACCGATATGGTGTCGGTGATATATAAGATATATAAAGTATATATAAAGTTATTTAATTTATTTCTGTACGCATCGACAAACCGTTGCTAACGAAATACGATTCTGAGTGGAATTTTATAAAACACGGTTTGAAATTTCGTAATTTTTAAAATTTTCTTCAAAATTTGATCTAAAATGTTTAAAACAATACTCTTACATTACACTTAACCACGATGTACTTAGACTAGTAATAGTAAACTGTAGTTTTAATTGTATCGGACATTTTAATTTTTTTTTTTTTATATAATCACTTAGTACAATTAATAATGAACCTCGAGTTAAATTGTCAATTATTTCTGATTGGTTTAACAATTGGATCCATATAATACGTACCTACCAAACAAAAACTAAAAAATAACTTGAAATGTAAAATATCTTCAAATAGTTCAAAAATCGCTATCATGTTTTGAATTTCACATGTCTAGAAAATGATACCTTTAATATAAGAATTCTATGAAATTTTAAGTCTCAATGAATATTTTTAACTGAATTACGATAAGAAACCAATGTTGAAAATAGTAAAACCGTTATTTCCGTAAAATGTCCCAATTTACCCATGTTTTTTTTTCCGGTTTTGTCCAACTATTAAGAAAACTGCATAAATCAAAAAACAACTTTCTTACATACTAACTAAATACATTTTTCTTTAAATTAAATTCTACACTTGAATTTCTGTATAATATTTCTGATAGAAAAACCAAATCAAAAAAATTCTAATTAATTAAATCAAAAACACCGCGGCCAATTATTTTGAAAACCGCTTAGAAAATCGAAAAATGAACTCGCAAGTATACCAACTAGATGCAAAATGCAACATAAGAGGTTTCATCCTTTTCCATGGATTTCATGATTTTTCATGCTGTTTGTGAATTATTCCTAGTACATATACGAGGTGTGACACAAAAATTACAACATTTCCTCAATCAAAGTAGTTTTATTTTTAAAATTAAACAATTTAATGTTTATCATCTTCAAAGTGGTTTCCTCAACATCTACACACTGTTGTATATGTTGTTTCCATCCTTGAAAACAATGCTACCAATCAAATCAGTTAGCTTTTTTAGATGTTCTAACGTTTTAACTTTTGGGAATAGGTGGAAGTTACAAGAAACAAGTAGGAGAGGGGGTGGGGTTGAAAAAGAGACATTCTTATTAACCGTTGAATTGAAATGATACTTTGAACTGAAGCATTGTTTTTTTAAAGAACCCAGCTATTTTTTCATAGATCTAGTTGTTTCTTTCTAATACTTTCTCTCTAATTAATACTTCTTTATGCCTAATAATATTGATTGTCTGTGAACTATTAGCAACTCATTCGACCAAAATTATTTCCTAACATCAAAAAACAACAGGCATTGCTTTGAATGTTGACCAGCTCATTCACGGGTTTCTTTATTCTTGGGAAATTTAGTAATTACCAATGCATGCATTGTCTTTGCTATAAATTTCATTTTCACCCTGTGTCAGTTTTCTTTAATTTAACAATAAATTTAATGATTTATTAAGGAATAGTGTATAGGCAATTTCTTGTTTTACATGAATTACGTAGTGTCTTTGTATGAGAAGTAAATGGTTATAAGTATGAATGTTTGTTACTAGTTACCACACACCCTTTTACAGTCCCACTCAGTACAAACATTGTGTATAACTGGTTTTTCGGTACCTAGCGATTTTTCAAGCGGATGGGACAATAATAATAATTATATTATCATCTGCGTCCAAAACAAAAATATTTTTAATTTATTGTAATATTATAATACACAAACGAACACCATTTTAGATTCAAAACATAGTAAGTAATATATTGGTTTTAATATGATGTTGCAATGCGGTGATGGAGGTCCGTGAAGTTAGTGGAAAGTTGAAAAACACTAATTCCCGCTATATCACGCTATATCCGCTATATCAAATTTGAGTGCTCATTTAGTGCTTCCAAAATATCCATAAATAAAAATGTGTTCTCTCCGTTCAAACCCAAATTATTGGGTCTTCATGGACCTGCGGCGGCACTTCAACGTAAATGTAGCAAAAGAAACCACCCCGTGATAACGAAAAATAAAAATGCGCCAACGCATACCAAAAAAATAATTATAAATAATAATAACAAATAATACCGTCTATCATATTAATATTACAATACAATATTTTTTATTTTAAGCTCTGTCAAGTTCCGAAGATATGGTAGGTAATGTTATTGTTAGTAAAGAACATAAATAAAAAATAATTCTAATATACAATTGGTTTATGTTCGGTTGCAAGAGAACTCAGTCTATCCTGAACAAATTTAAGATTTTTACCGGATGTCATAAGAATCTTTTATTATGCGTCAGACATTAATATTTATTTAATAATATAGATATATTATTATATAACCTAACAAAATCTATGATATACACATTTTTAAATATACATTCTCTTATATTTTTACAATATATACGATTTTAAAATGTTGACTATATCAATACAATCAGTGGCGTGGTGAACTAAAATATTTCCAGGGCCAAAAATATTTTCCAATGCTTTCAGTAAAACAGGGTAGTTTTCTTGAATGACAAGAAAATTTGTGTTTTCTAGTTGATATTATATTTTTCTGTAATGCTTCAAAATACTTTAAACATAGGCCTGTAAAATCAGAAGCAGTTTTCAGTGCTACCAAATTCTCTTGAGGTTTACCTTCGTCAATGTATCTTAAAATTACAGTAAGTTATTCTTGATTAGAAACGTCTGTAGTAGTGTCAATTATTGTACTGAATTGTTAACTTGTTTTAAAATATCCTTTCGAACTATCCGCCAATATACAGAGAAGTTTATTTTGAGTCACATTGGATAAAAATGATAAATGATTAATCTTATTTTCTTTTAGTTTTTTGAAATACAGCTTTAATATCGGATTATATTTTGATAGAAATGTACATAATTCAAGAAAATTATTGTTGTTGGTTGATTTATACTTCTTGTTGTGCCCCCTGAGTGCGATATTTTGTTTTGCAGTAAAATTAATTATTCTCTGCAAATTTTCGATTAACAAGTTCTTGTCCATTTCTGTATCAATCCTTATGTTCTTTTCATACATTACTCAAGCAATTTCACTTTTTAGGTGTTCTGGAAAGCTTTCATGGTTTTCTATTGTTTGTTTTTATTATTTTTATAATCATTAGACCCTTTATCTGCTAGAAACGTTTTTTTTTCACTTTAGGCAAACTAAATAGTTTACAAATGATACAATAAAAACGATCTTGTGGTAGGGAGTATGACAACTTTAATCATTTTACAAATTTTCTATCCTCAATCTTTCGGTGATAATAAGTTTCATGAAATTATCGTATAGCACCTTGAAAATCTTTCTTTTATGGGAATATCTTGTTTTTTTATTCTAAGGTAGATAGTTGAAAAGGCCCCAATAAAACAAAATGATTTTTGAACTCGTATGGTATAGTTGCAGGCAAAATGCCTGGATCATTAGGGAAGACTAAAATAAAAAAAGGAACAGTTATTATTTAAAGTAAAAAAAGTATTTTAAATTATATTTGTACTTTACATTTTTATTATTATGGCTTTTAAAAAAATTCTAAAAAATATTTACAATTGAAAAAAAATAAAAACATATTAATACTAATAATAAAAAAAACTTAAAAGATATATTATATTTATTAGATATCATCTAATGAAATGATTAAACACTTTGAGACATGTGCTTATGAGATCATGTTTCAGTATCGCCGTATTGGGTGGTATATAATTTTAACAGAAAAAATTATCTTAATAAATATATTATCAAAGTGTCTAATAATTTAATTTAGCTATATTAAGGTACATTTGAAAATTTGAAATTGTAGTTAAATATATAGGTACTGGCAATATTGCAACTACAGACTTTTTCAAACTCAAATTAATGAAGTAGGTACTCACCAATAGTACATGGTTTGTTCGTTTTGAAAAAAAACGCAATGTATCCAAACGTTTATTTCCACCAGTTCCACCTTTATGTTTAAGCTTACACGAATTTAAATTTCGCTTCCGGTTAACTTCGTTAATTTGTTTTAAATCCCGTCCACGTCCATAGTATTCACATCTCATATTAGCAATTAGCCATTAGGCAAAAATAGCCGATATGTACGGAAATTTAAACAACTTTTAAAAACAATTAAACAAGAACAAGATAGGTAATGTTATTAATGCTATACTTATCCAAGTAACGATGCACATACACTAGTTTAACCGTAATCGCAGTGGCGTACCTAGACGTCTCTTACGGGAATGGGGGGGTATATTTTCACCCATTCTTAAAATAGAAAATTTTTAAAAATGTATGTCACAGCTAACCTAACCTAATCTAACGGGAATTTTATATTTATAAAATATTAAACGGAACATTTTAGTAGGTACATAAAAAAGAAATTGTTGTTTAATATAATATAATGCATGTTAAAAATAATTTTATAATAAATTGTATAATAACACAAAGATTAACCTCCAGTTTTTCATACAAGAAAATCGTTCAATGATTTCATCCACTAGTATACTAATTTCTTGGTATATGTGCAATAGTACAAGCCCACATAAACGATTCTAGCCCATTTTTGAGCGTGGCCATATTTTTAATCTACAGTACAAGCATGAGTAGAGGCAAATAGTAAATATAAATAATTAAAAAACAGTAGGTGGGTACTAACTAAATTTACAAGCCAATGCCAATTATGTAGATATATAATAATTATCATATTAGATTATATATTATTATCACATGTTTTGATTATCTATGGTCAAATAACGTCGAATAGCTAAAACAAAATAATAACACCGTGTATTTTGTCTCGATTAGACCATAGATAACAAAAATATTTTAATATCTTAGGTTTGATTATGTTATCAATTATCATATTATTAACGACTTACTAAAATATAAATTTCGACTAATAGTAAAAACACTAGAAAAAAAAAAAATACAACAATGCACAAATTTAGTCACATATAATTATACGACCCATGGGGGAGAATGCCACCTTCGCCCCCCCTGCAGGTACGCCGCTGCGTAATTGCACTCAGTAAACAGCGTTATTTGAATTTATGACGCCAAACGGCGAACATAATAATATTGCGATTGCGAGATTGATATGTGATATTTCGTATAGTCCAAGTTATAATTAAACTGTACACAATTTATACAAATATCTTTGTGCGTTACTTTCCTTCATTCATAATTATGAAACTAAATTATTACCCACTCACTACCCATTAAAAAAAACCGAGAGGCGGCCGCCTTTCTATCACCCCTTTCGCAACGCCACTGAATGCAATTAACATGAGTAACATGGATCATCATATGTTATCATCATTAAATAACTATTGTTATTTCACTGCGTGCGCGGTGCCGAAATAAAACCGCCAACGACTAGTTCGTATGGGGCGCACCGCAATAGTTGCACCGTAGCCGCACTGCATCGGTGGTGGTCGCCGGGCCTAACCATGTTCGAAAAGTTCGTGTGAGAAATTGACATTGGTGGTAACCCTATATGCTGCCTATAAATAACAAGCCATTAATTGATCGGCGATTATGACTGATTACTGGACAATGACGATTATTTCTAATCCACGAAGGTTGTGGTGGATGTTGAAAATATTTAAAAACAACTTTGGTGTTTCAGCGCAATAAATTTACAGGAATGACAACAAAACAAATAGTGAGTGTTATAATATATTTACATTATTAACAAATATATACAATACATATATTATTATGTTTATAGACCTTTTTTCCAATCGTTACTAATGTAGTTATAATTTGTTTTTATCAACTAACTATTATAATATTGTCTGTGAGAACGTACATTTGTATTCAACTAATATTTATCAAAATAAAATTTAATTTTTTTTGTTTTCATATTTTATGCATTTTGTTATGCATATTTCGGATTTTTTTTTTATGCGTGATTATTTCATGCATAATTTACTATCGGTATTTTCGGTTCCTAAAGAACCGATGAAACCGAAGCATCGAAGAACCGTCCCATTCTTACTATCAATGGTTAAAAAATCGTGTTTTAAAATTTTTACCACATCCTGAAAGGACTATTTTAAGTATTTTGTGGAAATTTCAACTCTCTACGATTATTTTTAATTGAATTACAACCAGCCCTTAATAAAAAAAAAAAAAAAAAAAAATACAATATTGCAGCATAAATTATAATTATAATTATTTCATTGCAATTAATCTAAAAAAAAAAATAATGATAATAATAATAGGTACTATTCTTGTTGAAGTTATTACCTTTTAATTCTTCATAACTATAATCATTGTTAATATTGTCATACAATATCTGTTGCAAAATATTGAACCTGTGCAGATATTATAATAATATTATGATAAAGGTAATTAAATCAGTATTAAATATTAATAAACGGTTGAAACGCAAAAAAAAAAAATACATTAATGTACTTACTGGTAGATAGACTGAAAAGTAGGATTTTGTGGACCACCGTCTTCATCCTCATCATCATCTTCATTGCCAAAGACAAATTGCTGTGGACCCGTATTTTTGATAAATTCATGTGCATTCTCTAACATTTAATTCATAAATTATAAAATTACAGTGAATTTAGTGAAAATAAAAAAAACAACATAACGGTTAGAAAATAATGAAATATGTCATAATACAACATAGTCAACAAAATATAAAACAATATTATAAAAAAAAAGACGTCCTATGATAATAAAGTATGGGTACAGCTACTGTTTTAGATAATTTAATGTAAATCTGTAAGCAACAATAATCCATTGCTTACGAAATACGATTCTGAGCGTAGTTCAGTTGATAGTGATGCGCTGTGCATACTATACATATGTCATTTTACAGTAAAATAATTGAATAGTCTCTATATATTTTCTTTAATAATATTTGTTTCAAGTTATACCGATTTTCCCAGTTTCCCTACGTTTTTCCCGGTATTACCATGTTTTATCCCGGTTTTTCACATTTCACAGCTGGGAAAACTCTTAGAAAAATCGAACAATGATCTCTTTAAAGTACTTCGCTAGTGAAATTTCCTTTAAGAAACATTGCTATCATTATAAATTGGAACAAAATTGCTGGTAGAAAAGTTGCCTACAGATAAAAAAAAAATTAAATTTTTTGTAAAAATGTAAGCTTCTTCGCTTCACTCAGAATCTTAAATTACATGTGATTTACAAATATAGTACACAATAACATTAATTATCTAATATTTCCCACGAACTGGCTGGAATTATAACAACTTGTCCGAAATGGCCGGCTTACAGAAAATATATAATATATTATAGTGGTTCCCGAACTATGGTGCTTTTCAGAGGATTATATTTTGACGGAAAATATTTTGTTAGAACTGTTTCCGAAATCAAAATTCTAATAATACGTTTCCCACAAAAGACGATTCTGCAAAGTATTATAAAAATCCAGTAATATAATGTCCCTATAAAATAGACAAAATACGGTTCCCACGAAATATTTTTCGATATTTTTACGCGCTTCCGTAGATTTCTCCCTCAGGATACCCGAGCATAACAGAAAAGGCATAGAATGTTTATCAACATAAACGACTGGTTATCTAACTATAATTACACACAACGTATTAAAAATTATTAAAATTAATATGCAGTGTAAACTTACAATACATTTCCTTATTATTGTTAAGTATACCCCCTCCGTCTACCAGCTTCTTCCACTTTAACCACTGCAAAAGCCGTATTAAAATCAAAATGTCGGTTCAAACTAATACTAACGTAGAAAAAGAAATGTTATAGACTATTATTCATAGGAGTTATCGGAATTAAAATAATGGTATTTTATCATGTTAATGGTTGATAATAATAAAATTAACAACAATAAAATAAATAACAGGGCCTAAAACACTGTGTTCCCTAACACACTTTGTGTCCCCTGCCAATCAAATTGTATCCCCTGAATTACAAATGTGTATCCGAAATTTTATAACGTGTTTTTAGTAATAATAAACATATTGGAACTTAAACACCAAAGTATTATAATTTTTTATTTCAATATAAATTGATCACAATTTCCTCATTATTTATTTTATACAAATGTCATAAACTTTAACCACGATCACAGTTATAGATATAATATATCCACGAACTTTTAGATATATTTATTTTGTGTGGCATAAATGCAGTTTAGCTCTCAAGCGATCTTTTAGAATTTTTTTTTTCCAAAATGTGTGTTTCTCATTTGGAAGTTATCCTAAAAATCGTGTTTTTAGAGTTAAAAATACCAAAAATATACATTTTTGAAATTGTGATTTTTAGAAATGGTAATAATTATATGTTTAACATTTTGGTGAAATCATAAATCACCTAGCGTATTTAATTTTTTATGTTATTATTAAGAAGCTACGTAAAATTTAATTATAATGTTATTACAATCATTTGCATAAAGTAATTCAAAATTGATTTTTTGGACTTTTTTTTTCATTCGGTGTGTAATAACATAAAGAAGTTTTTGGGTAATTCTAATATATTTTCAATATTTATGAGCTATTTGAGCGAAAACGCCAAGAGGATGTTTCTTTGGCAATAATTGAAAAATTGCAGTCTTGGACGCTAATTTCCAAACATAACACATTAAATTGCATTCATGGACATGAAAGTCTCATATTATGTTTGAAGTTAATTACATTGACAGATACGCATAGAGATGTCGAGATTATTCCAAGAATTCATATAGCAAAAAAATTAAATTTTAAAACTTTATTAAATAACCAAATATTTTGTTATTTATAGCAATAATTTAACGTTATAATCATTGTATTTATTTTACTATGCTCCACTGTTCTCCCCTTCAGTAATTAAAAAAAAAAAAAATATTGAATAAACTATATTTTTCCAAAGGTAAAATATGGTGTTTATGTACTCAAATAAGGTACTTTTTTCAACTATTTCTTCCAAACTAAAACATATTAGTTAGTTCTGATTTCACCAAACACTTCTTTATGTTATTACACACTGAATGAAAAAAATAAAAAGTCTAAATATCAATTTTGATTTACTTCAATATACAAATGATTGAAATAATATTATAATTAGGTTTTACGCAGTTAATATAAAAAGTAATTACGATAAATGGATTCTGATTTAAACAAAATGTTAGCATGTAATTACTAAAATTTCTAAAAAAAATTCAAAAAATATAAATATTCAGTATTTTAAACTCAAAAACACAATTTTTAGAAACATCGAGCATCTTGAAGTTTTTTGACTATAACTTTTAAATGAAGTTTGAACAATTTTTTTTGAAAGTGCCATCAAATTTAGCATGTTAATACATACATTTTTGAAAAAAAACTCAAAAAAATCGATTGGAAGCTAAACTGCATTCGTTCCTTTTATGTATTTTTAGTCCAAAAGTCATAAGAATAACATCAATGTTTAAGGTAAGTGGTTTATAAAAGGGGATAGAATTTTGGGCGCTACAACCCCCACAGGTTTTTTTTTTGTATAGGAATCTGTTAAATGTAACAATTTAATTAAAAAGCGTGTCCTCTGAAATCAGATGTATTTTAGGCCCTGGTTAATACCGACCTATTATCTGTTATATTTTTACTTTCCAACAGGAAGTTATGCAGTCGAGAGCACTCCACCAGTAACATGCGACAATATCGGCACAATTATTGTTGCTATGATAAAATAACTACAGTTTTCAAATCATTAATCATTATCATTGTTATTTAAAGACTATCCGGTCGAGAATGTTTCTTTCCCTCATTTTAAACGGGGGGTGTAAAAATATTGTTCTATTTTTAGGAAGCTTTGAATAAAAAATTTTTGGAACCGCTGCTATAGTCTATAATAGAAATAGTTATTATATTTGTATCAGAATTACTATTAAAAAGTAAACATACTTGAACTTTCAACTTTTGGGTACCAACCTGTATTTCATAATAAATAAACATTATGCTACAAAATATGTATAATTGGAGAAAATGAACGACCACGTTAAATAGAAAATATTGATAATACAAAATGTCAATTATTAACAACGTTTATTTATTAATTACAAACAGGGACATTTGCGTTTGGTCGTGTTTGTAAAAATTGCATTGCGTTTGGGCGATTTTCCACAGTGCGCTTGAGAGAGTGATTTCAAAATATTGTAATATAAAATAATTATAAATAAAATAATAATAAAATATTGTGGATTTTCCTAGCCCAAGATTTTAAAGCAGATTTTGACCTGCTGCCGCGTCTATTTGGTGCCAGCTGCCAAGTCAACATGAACCGATTCTAGAGCCATTCATGATTATACTATGATATACTATGATTATATTAGATACTATGGTTGCCCTGGAGGCTGGAAACATTCGAATGCATTTCAAAGTCAGGTAAACTTAAAATTGAGTAAGTCTATCGGGTCAGGCGAAATTTCGAACAGCTCCGTAACTCCCGCGAACGCCTCATGACAAGGTGATCACCCGGTGATAAAAGTAATTTTCCCCCACGCACACGGGCCAATCCTCAATTATTCGTGGATGTGTCGTAATTGTTTTTTTGCCACAATGGGCGCACGTTAGTTTGCCACTTCACATTTCCGCATTTAATGTTTGGCCGTATAATTATTGAACCGGTCATTATTAAGCCCTATCTAAGCAAATATTGAAATTATGCCTCCGATTCCAAGCAACATTATAAAGAGAAAATTAGTTTAATGTAAAAATACATATTATTGATAATTAACCATTATCCAACATTTTCCACGGATCGGCTAGAATTATACTTATCGAAAACGGTCAAATTACCAAAAGTATATAATAATAAGGATAATACCTAACAATAAAATAGTATATTTTAATCAGGGCCGGCTTGAAGGCATTACGAGCTGTGCACTCGCACAGATCCCCGCGTTTTTAGAGGCCCAGTCTAGTCACAATCACAGCTAGATAGAAATTTCACATGATAATTTAGGAAAATACAAATTAAAATATTAATAAACTAAGAAGCATTTCGTTATAAAGATTTACCTACACTTATTATAATAAGAATCAAAAAAAAAAGCTTATTGAGGCCCTGCAAAAATAAGTGTACATTGCACAGTGTCCCAATATTTTCCAAGTCGGCCCTGATTTTAATCTAAAAAATAAAAATAAAAAAATAAAACATACCACCGATTATTGAAACTATATTTCATAGAAAATTAATCAATAAACAAAACGTTAAGGCACAGTTAATTTTCTTATCATCTATGGGTTAGGTTAGGTTAGAGTTTAGAGTCTTAGACTATATAACCAAAATATATAAATGTTACTTATGGTTATGAGTTACATACACAAAATAATAATTATATATTTGATTTGGAATTTAGTGTTGTGGAGGGGGTAGGAATTAACGACTTTTTGATAATGTATTTCTTTAGTTTCCCTTCCCGTTTAAATAATTTTGGTTGCACTACTGTTATGTTATACTACTTGTAACATAATGTTTTCTATTCTAATAGGATGAATTTTGAGAATAGAGATTGAGTTTGAAATATTATTCATACGTAAGTGTAGGTAATTAAATTTAAAAATTATGCAATTAAAATAAAAATTAGACTATGTAAACAATAATAATAAGTGTATATACAAATCGTTCATAATACAGAATTAATATTTTAAGTTATAAATAAATAAAATAATACTGTGTATTTACCATTGTCTACAAAAATTGATTTATTCATACACAAAAACGCAGGCGTTGAATTATCTGATTTGATTTCTCTATTGGTAAATTTAGACCTTAGTAATTTGGATTCTACTAAACCTTTAATGTCACTTATGTATTTTAGTTCGACTACTATAAAATTAAGTAAAACATTAATTAGCAGGCAAGAATAATAATAATATATTGAATTCATTTTAATAAATAATTAAACGTTTAATAGATCTATTTAAACGATTAAATGTTCGATATTATAATACATAGCATGGAAAACTGCACTAAATAATATAATAGTCATAGGCAGAGCCAGCACAAGACAAATCTGATGGGGAGGGGAGGGGCTGTCATACCGAAATTGCCGACCCGAAAAAAAATGTACAACCAGAGCAATAATGACTAATGAAATTCTAAAATAACTTTTTGCTGTAAATCAAATACCTATATGATATTATGTTTGTTTAGTCTAAAAACAAATGTATTAGATATTCAGATATTGTTTATGTATATATAATATACTGATAATATTATCAATTATCATCACATTTAACAATTAGGTATAGATATAGGTATATTACCTATAGGAATAGTATTTTTGTTAAAATGGTAGTAAAGGTAGAAAGAAAAAAGATGTCCTAAAATAATGGGGATGGGTGCAGCCACTGCTATAGGTAATTTAATATATATCTGTTAGCAACGATTAACCTTTGCTAACGAAAAAACGATTTTGAGCAGAGTTCAGTTAATAGTGATGCTTTGTCAACAATATATATATATATCATATTATAGTAAAATAATTTAATAGACAATTCAGTAGCGTAACCAGGATTTTTTTAAGGGGGGGGGGTGTTTTTATTTAATGTTTAAATGTAGCTCTGTATTTTTATTATGCGAATGTACCACACATAACATGTTATACTTAATAATTATTTATACGTTTCACAACACATCTTGTAGAAATCTGACGCATAACTGCATAATATTGTAACAATTATAATTTTTGGCATAAATATAATCATAGGGAGGGGTGTTTAAACACCAAAATACCTCCCCCCCTCGCTACACCACTGATAAGCATTATATAATATATTATATTATTATTTATTATCTTGAATAATATTTATTTACTGTATCGATTTTCTCGTTTTTCCTACGTTTTTTTGAGGTTTTCCCATGTTTTTTCCTAGGTTTTCACATTTACTAATAAAACTCTTGAAAAATCGAAAAAACCTCTCTAAAGTACCTCCCTAGTGAAATTTCCTTTTACAAAAATTATTATCATTAAAAGTTGGACTAAGTTTGGTAGAAAAGTTGTTCGCAGAAAAATAAAATAAACATCTTTGTAAAACCTTTCTTTCTAAAATCAACTATTAAATAAAATAAAGATTGATAATATTAGTTTGATAGTTTACACAAGTGACAAAAATGTGTGCGTAGTATGTTCTGATCTATAGGTATGCCACAGTATACTATAATATTATTGTACTTGATAATACCAAAACAATTAAACTTATATCTTACAATATAATTCATAATATACATAATATTATATTATACACGTTTATAATATATTGGTCACCTGTTCCTACTAATGATATTGTATATTACTATAAAATAAATAATTTGGTGGAAACGTGTGTTGGTGGAAAAGAGAAAGGTTAATTTTGGTGGAAAACAGTGACATCCGTCAAATTATATTCCTATGTACCTTTTTAAAAATGGTTCATTGCGGCCCGATTTTAAGGCGTCGGTCTTTTGTTTTCTTCATTTCGGTAATACAATTTATCGTCAGCGTTATTAAAATATCAGATACAGATGTCATCTACAGAAACTGCACAAACATATCTGTTTGTAGAAACTTGAAAGCCGCGCGCATCACAAAATTTGAAACAAACGTCGCGTCGTCGTCGTAATCTTCCACGATTTATTTTATACGTTTTTCAGCATTCATTTTGTATATATCTCTTGTATAAAGGATACGGGTAAAAAAATCAGTAGTCGCTTGGTTTTTTTAATCTGAGAAAACATGTTTTTAATTTCACATCGTAACAATTGTTTTTTTCTTTTACAAAGAAAAAAGTTCAAATCAAGTTAAATATTAAACTTTGAAATGCAATAGTAACCACAACGCGATAATATCGTACTATATTGTTAACCGCGGTTATTATAGGTAGCCGTGTATTAACCCAATAATTGTCCGATTCTTTATTTCCTGCAGTTAGCTTTATTCCATTAGTTATTGATTTACCCGTTATTTTTTTATACTCTATAAAATACTATAAAAATAATTATAATGTTTTTACAATAATTGTGGACTACATATTTATACGGCATGCTTAAGGGTTGCCCAACTTTCAATCATTGTTGTCATGTCAATCTCGTCTAGAATATCCTTAGATGAGTTTTGTACCATAAGATTGTCTAATTTTTCATCAGTCATTGTTGTTCGCAAATTATTTTTCACGAACTTAAGAATATTGATTACTCTTCTGAATGGCTCTCAAATAACTGATTAATACTCACGCACAAACGACGAATGTTAATGTATTATGATTGGCGGTGTGAAGTGGACGAGAAGTGCAGGATACGGGAAAATGTTTATCAGTTTATAATAATAGTTTTAAAAACAGACATGGGCTATTCTAAATGTACATATTTTATTTGTATTGATAATAAATATTGCCAACTGATATCGGAACTATTCATATCACACAATTCAAATGTTTTTTTGTTGAGGAGTGCCGAATGAAGATTATATAAAAAATATTTAATTTTCATTCTAAGTTAATTTCAGTTTGTAAGCAAATAGGTAATTTTGTCTGAAAAATTCTAACTGCCGAAAGTGCTGCCATCATAACTGTCATTACGATAATACGATGACGGGATGTCACGACCTCCTATACCCCACTTCCGGCCCTGGTTATAGGTACTAATGAAATTTAAAAATTAAAAAATAAATTTTTTCTCTTTAAAACATTTAAGCTATAAAATGTATTAATAGATAATAGGGGTAATGATGTAATAGATGTACTATTTGGTAAAAATATGCACCTACGTAATAACCAGTGCTACAGTTAACGTTATTTATTATTACTTAAACAGATACAACAGTTAACCTATTTTTTCACTGTTTACTTTTATTATTATTGTATGTATTTTGATTATTTGTGTACACACTATTATGTTTATATAATATATTTGTCATCGGCATTATCCTCTAATCATTTTAGTAAAAGGGGATAACCCTTAAAGTCGACATTTTTAGGAAAAGAAAAAATTAATTTTTTTAGGCCGATGGATTAATACAAATTAGCACGGTTTTTCTATGGTACAACTCAGTTTCCTGTTACTATACGTTAGTGGCTATTATGTTATTTTTATTTAGCTTTGTGCCACTACCATCGCGCTAATACCTTATTATTATTGCTTATTATTGCTTAGACCTTCCATAGAAATTATATACATAATAAACAATATAATATATCTATAATCTATATTATATCTACGTATCGGCTACACTACATCGTATATACCCGCCCATTTATCAGCTACCGTAAATATAATTTTGATCTAATCATACACATTAAATGATCTATGTGGTAACAACATGGATTTAGATTAAATTTTAATCACGACTACGGCCCATATAGTTGGCCGTGATCACGACAAATATGTTTTTCGATAAAGCCAATAATTCTCGATCCTCAGCACTCGTTAACCGTTATCAATAATATTGTTATTATGAAATTTTTTACTACCTTGGTACCTGTTTACAAATTATAAAAGTGTACTTTGGTTTTGTAATATAAAAAACAACATAAATATGAAGAAGTCTTCATCAAAAAACCAAATGAAGAAATATTTGTTTACTAAAACTTCTGAAGATACTGGAAATCTAAAGGGAACTATAATTTATGTTTACAGTTAAGTGTCCCTATGTCCTATTATTACCCATTAAAGAAAAAAATTAAAGCGAGACAAATTTGGCCAGAGGTAAACTGAGTCACCCTCCATTTTAAAGGCTACCCCTACTAAACCTTTTTTGCACACACCGTAAAATAATCCTGCATACACCTATGTAGATAGGTAAATATTGTCTACAAGTTACTTAGATAAATATATATTCAAATTGTATTAACCAATTAATTTTTAAGCAAACTTTGTATTTGAAAATCATAAATTTAAATTTGATAAAAACGTAATTGTTTCTAAATATTGGGGATTCACAGAACTTTTATGGTTAAACTAAAAAAAACATTAAGAATTATATTTCTATAGGTATGGAAATTTCAAAAATGACCTCCCCAATATATTAACTAGAAATCCAAAATACAACAAAAAAATGATCTTGTTATTTTTTGATTGGAGCAAGTTTTCTGTTTAGAAAGTTGCTCACAGATCAAAAAAAAAAAATTGCACACACATCAGAGTAAATCCAAAACCCTCGCAATGCTATAAAAAAAAATGTACAGGTTAAATGAAGGGTTCGAGTTGGCAGCGCGCATTATTAAATTGTAAATAAATGTGAACGCTTTAAAATCATTCAAATTCGTTAAAAATACAAACATATTTCACGTTTACGTTCTATTTGAAAGAAAAAACTAGTTTCGTTCAATTAACTATGGACGTGAATGTACGTTTTTTCTAAACATTGAGTAACACTCGCATTAATAACCATTTGCGTCTCGCGCAGACACTACGTAACTCGTAAATACCAAGAGATCGCCTATACACGACTACTATAAAACGGTCGGTATCCAATCCTTTCAACACTTACGTATTTTTGGTTGAAAACAACTCATTCTTATATCGATCAGAACACGAGATTAGAAATTACTTATATATTGCTCCTTTGAAAATGTAGAGGACCGTAATAAATTAGTTTTAATAGCATTTATCTATGGAGGGCCTAGTTATAGGTAGATAAGTTATGGACACCCGTTCATATTAAAAAAAAAATAATAGGTATTGTTTATTGTTTTATATTAATTATTTTACCTACGTTACACACGAATATAATTATAAAATTATTTAAATATTACATCTTGTACGGTAAAATTATCCTTTTGATGAATACCGTTGTGTAATGCAATAAAACGATCTCATATTTTTCAATTACAGCACTTGTAAACAAAGAATATTGCTGTCAATAGTTGTATTTTTAACATTCCCTTATTTTCCTGATTTAAATACTATACTAAAAATAAAAATAATTTAATTATTTTAAAAAAAAAGTTAGAAATATTTATAAAATATGACGTACTTGGTAATAAATTGCAAGTATCGTTCCATATAGTCATCTGGATTCACTATACATCCTTCAAATGACAGTCCTATACAAGGTAAAATCCCCACAGCCAAAGTTTCAATTTTCCTACCAAGCGTATATTTTTGCAAGGTATCAATAATTCCGATGTATATTAACAAATCTTTATTATCATATGTCGTAGCTCTAATGCCTTTTCTATAATTTGTGTAATTAATATCATTGACATCAGTATTATTTTTATCCATCCTGTATTTAAATGGTTCGATAACAATTAATAAGCTATAATCCATTATGTCAAATCTCTTTAATAGCTCGCAATCATTTTTTTGAATTATTTTGAGATCTGTGTATACGTTATGTGGTAATATTAGACCACCTGGGTAATTTTTTACAAAATCTTGATCTAAAAGACGAAACATGCTTTTGTCCTTACTATTGATGTCTTCATTAGCTCTCCTGTTAACACCTTTAAGATCATATTTTTGGATTATTCCGTATATTAGGTCATAAGGATATATATTGGACATGACAATAAAATAATAATTCTTAGATTTATATTTTAAATTATATAAACCAGAGATAGTCGGTAGTAACGTGTTTGGATATTCACAAAAATGAGAAAAGTAATCAGAAAGCATTGAACTCAATACTTCCACTTCTTGTTCATTTAGAGTTTTAATAATAAATTTCAAATCGTCAGTAAAAAAAAACATAGCACCACTTTTCTCAGGATTTTTTACTTTTGTTAGAGTAGAATTTTGAAATGAATTTTCATAATCACGTGTAACATTATATAAAACTCTAAAATATACAAAGTTTTCAGGCGCATATGCTCTAAACACAATATTATAATCTGATGAATTTATTATATTAACGAATATACAATCTTTCTCGAAAAATTTAGGATTACTTTCAATGTTGATGTGTGTAAACTGCGATATAGTCTCGTTAATTCCCACTAGTATTGATTTTAAAAACCCTGAATCTATAATAAAATACAAATATATATACAATTATTATTTTATTTTATTTCTATTGGAAGTTGAAAAAATTTATTTATTTTCAAAAATCTAACGTAGAGTTCATAATAATTGTAATACATTTTTTCTATATTGACCCTTCTTGTACTACGAGGTTTGGCTATTAAAGAACGAGACTGCGCGCGCAGAAAGCGTCCCAAAAAGGTTAGGGGAAAACCGAATACAGCGCTGGTTAGCTTGCAGTGTCTATTACGCCAGTACAAAATAAAGTTTTTGTTGGTGCATTAGTATTTTTTCTGTAGCGTTTAAAAACGAACATGTTTTTTTCTCTTGCCGAAAACGATGTGTGACTAAAAACATGAGCAACGGATAAACGTAAAATTTTCTCATTAAACTAAAAAAAACTCCAATTGAGTGCTATAAGTTGTTAAAAGAGGCCTATAGTGAGAATTTCCTACCTCGAGCGCGTATTTTTGAGTGGCATAAATTATTTTCTAAAGGTCGAGAGTGCACCGGAATCCAATTCAGTCATAATCCAAATTCAAAATCATGCTGATCGTTTTCTTCGATATCAACGGCATCGTGATGACTGAATGGGTTCCAGAGGGTCAAACTGTGAACCAACATTACTATTTGACAGTTTTGGCAACATTGCGCGAATGAGTTCGTAAGAAACGGTTGATATTGTGGAAAAACAAGTCGTGGATCTTGCACCAGGATAACGCACCTGCCCATAACGCGCTGNCTGCGACTTTTACTTGTTTCCGAAGATAAAGTCTGCCTTAAAAGGAATCCGGTTTGAGTCGATGGAAGAGGTGAAACAAAAATCGGCGGAACTCCTGAATGGTCTTACGAAAACAGACTTCCAGCACTGCCTCGAGCAATGGAAGAAACGAATGTGTGTGAAGAGGGGAGGAGAGTATAATGAAGGGGAACATTCGGTTGTGGAATAATTTTTAAAATAAAACTATTTTTCATAAGCAGTCTCGTTATTTAATAGCCAGATCTCGTAAACCACAGATATATGTTATATACTTGTTAATTTATGAGGTTAATCATTGATTTTTGAATACACCAAAACTTTTAAATTTTAAATATGATTTTAGAGTGCATAATAGTATAAAATGAATAGTTTAATTGTTTAATAGACAATTATATTAGGTATATAAAACTCGTACTGTTTATAGTTTATTAGAATATTTGTCTCCAAATACTATTATTAGATGATATAAACACATAGAATCAATGATGTAGAACGATATATTCTATTTAGAGCTGTTAGTAAATAGAGACTTCACAACAAAATACAATAGCAGGTATCGTTATATATCATATATACATACATTGTAATAAAATGCTTAAATGGTACCAGGATTTTAAACTTTAAGCTATAAAATATAAGCTTCTATTACAATTTACATGACTTCAGAATCGGACTGTATAACATTAAATAAGTCTGGAGGCGAAACAAAATATTGGTATATACTATATAGTATAGGTATATATTATATGTTATGTATATATATATATATATATATATATATATATATATATACATTACATAATAATTTATGTATAAATGTTATATATATTTTGTTATTATAATATTCATCATATTTTATATTCTGCCTAATTAACATCCAGCTATGCTTGAGATGTTAATTGTTATAAATATAAAAACTTAATTTTATTTTTAAGTTTATTGCACTATGTGCCTATGTATAACCATTATTATAAATGGTGAGTATATCAAAATTATTAAAGTGAAATGTTATTCATATTTAGGTATTAATAAATAGTATTAAATTCTTACCATTATTAATTGGTGTTCCAAAATCAAAAATTTTACTTTGGGTATTCTTCTTCTCCTTCGCATTCATCCCAACCGTTTGGGATTGGTTTTGGGTAATATTAACATTGAAACTGTTTTTCATATAATGTAATATAACATAATATTGTTTTAAGAACTTATAATATTGAAAACAAAACATACGTATTTGCATTTTTATCAACTGTTTTTGTCGTTTCTGAACTATAATTTGATTCCTGTAATTCTTCTATTGATAAAATAATATTAATCAATATTTAATATAAATAGGTATTAAAGCATATTCTATAGAGTACTTTAAACGTTTTAAAACAATATTTACAATAGATACAACAAAATCTATATTTTGTATAATCGCACGTGTCCTGACTGACTACACAACGCTCAATCAAATCTACCATACCGATTTATTTGAAATTTTAAAGGAATGTACCTATGCTATGTACAGGCGTACTAAAAAAATATTTTTAAAATTCGTATTTAATTGTTAAAAAGGATAAATGTATTTATTCCATTGTTGTAGATTCATTTTTATATTAACTTACTGGCGAAGGAAAAGTTTACAACTTGTAATCGATTTTAAACCCGTTTTCCATAGCCTGATCAATTTGAAATTTTCCATATATTTACGATAATATTACAATAATAATATTTTATGTTTTCAAAGAAGATGGAAAATGGTTTTCACTCTATATGAATTTCGGGCAAAAATAATGAAGTATCGAAAAATACTTCATACAATTTTAAATTCTGATTAGATTGAAAAATTAAAAATGTACCTCGATCAATACATCAAGCAAGCATTGAAAAATCGATAATGTTTTCAAAATAATTTTTGTCTAATTACGCATTTTGAAATTTTGATTAAATTATAATAAGTTGTTTTTGACCAAAATAAAACGGTGCTATAGAGGCCCCTTAAAAGGAGTTTTCCAAATCTATGTACATTTTAATAAAATCCAGGGTAAATAATTTAATTTTATAAATTATAATTTCCAATAAGTATCTACCTGTGATAACTAAATCTTCACCAAATGTATACAACTTTATTTCGGACACAGTTATTATTTTTTTGTTTTTACATATACGAACTTTAAAATCGATTGTCTCTTCATTTAAAATATAGTCACCACAGTTATTGAACATCGGAAAAGTAATGAAAAAAATATTTACTGTTAACAATTGACTAATTAAATTCATTTTTAAACACGTATAACGCGTATATACGAAAAGCGAACTCGTGTAAAAAGTATAATATTTTTTTGTGACTATAATATTAGGTAAGTACGTTTCGTGTAGTACATACCTACATTACTTACCAGTTGTAATAGCGGATATACCTATCGGCTATATATTTGTACACAGGTATAATAAATATGTGCAAATAAAAATCGAAAATTAGAGAGGGAGGAGCTTATTTAAACCAAATAACGTATATATATAACACAATAATAATAATGTATTATATTTCTGAATATTTTGTACTTATAGAAGACAACATTTTCCTACTGTTATAATTAATTTAATGTAAACAACGATAAACCATTGATAACGAAAAAACCATTCTGAGCGCATTTCAGTTGATAGTGATGCTTTTTTAACAATATGTAGGTATGTCATACTATGGTAAAATAATTAAAAAGGTATTATATATTTTCTTTAATAATATTTGTTTAACATCGTACCGATTTTCCCGTTTTTTCCACGTTTTTCCAGGTTTTTTATATTGGCTGGGAAAACTCTTGGGAAAATTGAAAAATAACCTCTCCAAAGTACTTCCTCAGTACGATTTCCTTCAGAAAAAGTGCTACACTTAAAAATCGGAACAAGATTTCTGGTAGAAAAGTTTGCACAACAAATCAAGAGGTATTTTTCTTTTAAATTTTTTTTCCTGTTTTGATAAAAGGGAAAAAATAAATGCAAAAATGTTAATTCAAAACACGGGTTTGAACTCGCGAATCCTAGGATGACAATTAGGTATGTATTGTAATGTAACCATTCGACAAACATACTTTAGAAAAGACAATATAGAGTCATTTAACATAACATAGTACAATATCCGCAAAATATCAGAACTTCAAAAAGCTATAATTTCGAAACTTAGTCACTTCATTTCACTATCGTTATTAAATCGGCAATATAGATAATGCCATGTGATAACCAATATGACCTATCCATTATATCACGAATTAAGATATACAGGATACACGAGATCCTGATATCAGCAAACTATTGATTTCGACGGTTCTTATTCATCAAATAGACATAGAGCGTTAATAACTAATAACGGCGACAAGGGGTATTACTGTTCACACGGTCACACACCACTAACATATCCAGTGGTTATACAGTGGATGTACTTTTCAGATATCCATAATATTCATTATTAAATATTTATAGCTTCCAATGGATACCTAAAAGATGTCCAAATGTCCGTTTTTTTGTCATTTTTAGATATGCTATTTCAATATCCATTGGTTATTAGTTGGAGTTATTCATGAGATATCTTATATTATGTAATCCTAATGGATAACCACAAGTTATTATTTATATACTTCAGTTTATGTATTATAAATCAAGTGGATGATAACTTGAGATATTTTTTTTAGGTATACAACAAATAGTAGATAAGGTTTATTTAACTGTATTGAATTACTATTTGTATGAATAACAACAAATTTAACTTACTATATTCATTTCTTTTTTATAAAATCTAGCTTCTGTATGTCTTATCCAGTTTTTGATACAAGTAATAATGTCAGACTCTTTTGAATCTTTGACATTTTTGAAAACAGCATATATTTGAAAATATGAATGATTATACTAAGTTATATAAAAGCTATAAAAACAATTAAGCATCAATAAAATTATCTTACCAATGATTATCTAGGAATACCTACAATATAGATTATTAATTATTTTATATAAGAATACTACTCATACATATTTCTTGTGTTGAAACATATAATTAAATTAAAAATATTATACACATACAATTTGCGTAAATCCCAAATTCGGAATTCCATGTGATATATTGATAGTGGATACTATGTTATTAGTACAAAACTCGCCACTACAACCTTTAAGCGCTACTTGTCAATTCAAGGACGAAGAAAGTTCGGATAACAATTGATAAGTGCTCGTATATCCTGTATATTTTCTTAATTCGCGCATTATATATTATCTTATTATCTATGGTCACGACCCACAGTTTTAGAGCCGCTACTCTATGTGGTCAGAACTAGAAAAGTGGTTGTGGTCCAATATATTTTGTAGTCTAATTCTAATGTGATAACGTTGCACGATAAGAAAAAAAATCACTATCGTGATAATATAATTGCCTGTTTTTTTACTTAGGCACTTGGGTAATTGTTGTCATTTGTATTAATTACACCGTCCGTGATTAAATATTGCGTGTTTTGTATGCAGTCATATTTTATTTCTGTTATATTCTCTTCAGTACCTTTAATGCCTTTCAGTCAACAGACAATAATAATTATGAATCTCAGGAATTGTCATTGATAGCTGTATTCAAACAACGGTCTCTGAACTTCGCAACCATGGCGACAGGTCAGTAATCGTCTATGTTTACTAAATATTAATAGTGTTTTTATTTTTCATATTTGGTTAGCGATCCTTATGGACAATTCTACTTCTACAACCAAATTTTCATATTTTATATACAAAATAGCTTGCATAATAATAGATTATGAGTCGTTGCACAGTGATATGATATTGCACAGTGTATCTATAAATTTAAAAAAAACTGGTGATGAAATATCAAAAATAATCATAGAACAATATTATTGTGCTTGTTTGTTAGTGTCCACCTATTTTCTAGGTTTCATTATATTTTTACCCGCAATTATAACTAATATTATATTAAATACCAAATAAACCAAAAGAATAAACAATATTTTTACATTATACCAAGTATAACAATAGTATTATTTTCATTTAAAACTGAATCATACTTAGACATGTATACGTTTTTCTAAACTTATAAATATACCTAAAGGTATAAAATACCTATATAATGAAAACAAACTATAAATTAGTTAGATTTAGCTAATAAATTAAAAATGAATATGTTTATGATTGAATGATCTGAAAATATATGTAAAATCCCCATGTATTTTATTTGATTTTTTTAAATTTGTTCTGTAAATAAATATATATAAATAAGTTGGATATTATTTTTTATAAATTATAATGTTATTCATTTAAGGTATAATTAAATTAAATAATTTGATGATTTTAATACAATTTATTTGACTAAGTAGTCTTTTTTTTATTATTTTATACATTAATCTACTATATTTTGTTTTATATCCTATAACTTTATTTAACTTTTTTGTAGGAACAACTAGAAATAAGGTTGCCCTTGCACCAGGTCATTCATTGATGGATTGGATTCGTTTGGGCAATTCAGGAAATGATTTGACTGGAGTTGGTGGCAAGTTATTATCTGTTTCAAAATCAGAATTAGCAAAACACAACAAGAGAACGGATGCTTGGTTAGCTATTCGAGGAACCGTTTATAATGTTACGCGATATATGGATTTCCATCCTGGTGGTGTTGATGAACTTGTACGTGGAATCGGTACAGATGCTACTAAATTATTTTCTGAGGTAATGAAATGCACAAAATAACAAACTGTGTAATTTTGTTAACTGTTAACACATTGTTTACGAAAGATTGTGAACGACAGATACACGCTTGGGTGAATTATGAATCAATACTTCAGAAATGTGTGGTTGGACGGTTAGTAAATGAGGAACGATTCAAATTGCCTAACCTTTTGAAAGCAGATACAGAAGTTTCTGAAAATGATTTGAACATGGATTGGTTTCAACAACTTGGCTTTATATGTTTTGTATTTTACACAAAAACACCATATCCTGAGGTAAATAGATAAATATTTTACATACTGTGCATAATATATTTAGATTTATAATCTTTGCTCATAAATATTATCAAAATCAAAGTAGTTATTTTTTGTTATTTCCATATTAATATTAAAATAAAAATATTATAAAATTGTAATTTTATTTTTTTTAACAATAATTCTTAATAACTCGTATAGCATATGGACAGTAACGTATTTAGACATACATTCATATTCAATAAATAGTTTCTTAATTAAAGCAGTTTTAATTTCTAGAAAATAGGCATGAAAACAATTAATATTCAATATAAGGCAAAGAATAATTGTGCTGATTGCGATTCCTTATTGTATGAAGTGTTAATTTAACAATAGGTTCTCTTAACTTATCCCTCCTTCTAGGTCTCTGTGTGTTTACCTCTCACAAAAATCTACTACCAAAATGTACTGTAAATTATTTATTTTTATTATTTTATAATAATAAATAATGGCCTTAATGGCTTTTAAAGCCGAAGTAGGAAGAGGATTATTATTTTTGACAGCTTTTTGCACAATATACACTCAAGCCACTGATGATTAAACTATATTCAATTTTTTTTATATACAGGCATATAATTTTGACAGTATAGCTGCTTTGGGGTTTTTTTTTCTGGGGATTTTTCTGAGGGAATTTTTTTCTCGGGATTCTCGGGATATGAGTAGTATAGATATTAATTACGATAATATAATTATTTCTAAGAACTTTTTTTTTGCAGGTGTCTATTACATTAAAACGACCCAATGAATTTTGTTTTGTACTAAATGGAAAAACCAGATCAATCAATCTGCATAAAGCTGTCACTTGGCCATGTGTTGTAAAAATTGTTGCAGATATTGGAAAAGTTCAAGTTAAATTAATAAAGAAAGTCCTTGGACTTTGGCCAATATTTGGGACCATCTCATTAACTAAACATATTCAAATTGATTATTGGAAATGCGAGTTACTGGTTTCTTATGATGTTACTGATAATGTTAAATATTTATTATTTAAATATGAACAAAATGTATACAATCATGTTTATCCTGGACGACATATTTATGTTAAAGCAAATGTGAATGGTACATTATATTATATAATATTTGTATGAAAAATGATTTTAAAATGTCTGTCTTTTATAAGTTCGTGTTGTATATTTTACGGTTTAGGTCATAATGTATCTCGTCCGTATACTCCTGTATGGCCTATAGTTGAAACTACTGAATATGGAAGAATATCTGAAGATACATTATGTGTATTAGTAAAAAATTATCCAAATGGAAAATTAAGTCAACATTTATGTTCATTACGTCAAGGAGACTCAATTGAAGTTAGCCGTCCGCAAGGAAATTTTGAGTGTTGGACGTCAAAAACTAATTTAATTTTATTGGCTGCTGGTACTGGCATTACACCAATGTTATCAATCATATGGAATGCTTTACACTCGCCAATTAAAAAGTAAATTAATTTTTATCTGATATACTTATTCAAAAAATTGTAATAATATAATTTTTATAGTGTATTATACACTATACATACCAAATTTAGGTTAACATTATACATGTAATGTTATATTGATATAATAGTTATTATTTTTCGAATTATCTTAATTAAAAACTCTTATTATTATATGCAGGTGTATACTGAGTCACTTTTTTACATCAAAATTGTTTAAATAAAGCCCATTTTTAAAAATAAGTTCCAATTCATAAAAGTGAAATTCTTAGGTACTAAAATAGGTAATTTAGTTCAATACAAATATAAAAAAACTGTATCAATGAAGGGCTTAAACAAAGAAGGCCTACTGGGAAGTTTCCAAAAACCTGGCGGGCATTTGATTATTTAGGAACAGGAAAATAAATAAAATTAAGTACAGTGGAACCTCAATAAGTCGAAATAAATGATGTTCCCTTGCGAAAACCTCGATTATACAAAGAAAAAACTATAGATAACTCAAACATTCTATGTTCCATTTATAGTCGGATAATGATAGATAATTTCTATAATCATTTGTCTAATCAACTTTTGCGTTCCATAATTTAATCTAAACGCCTTTTATCGTATATATTTCATTATGTTTATTGTATTTATTTTTGTATTTTTCATTTGATTTATTGTTATTACATTCGGTATTTTTAGTAAAACAATTTTAAAATAATAATAATAACAATACACACTGTAATTATATGTACATATTATATACTATGTAATGATTAAAAACCACAAATATAATACATTCATACATTTTAAAAACTCATAAGTCAAATTTTTCTCCTAAAATCTTGATGACTCGAAAACTTCAATAAGTTTAAATAAATTGCATTTCCCTTAAATTTCGACTTATTAAGATTCCACTGTATTAATATTAAAATATTAAATAGTATAGATATAAAAGTAAAACATAATTATTATTTAACTATCATTGATCCATCTATGATACATGTTAATAAATTGAGTTAACTGAGTATTAATTTGATTCTATATAGTTGCAGGTATAATTATAGTAAACAAATATATAAATAAACATTTTATTCATGACATTTTTTATTTATATTGTTAAGGGTATTAACCATTTTAATAATTTTGTTTTAATTTATTACTTTATTATGCAGGTATAATGTTACATTGTTATTTTGTAACAAAAAAGAATCCTATATAATTTGGAAAAATTATTTAGATAAAAAAAGTGCCACCAACTCATCAAGGTATGATTATTTTTTTAAGTAATAGTACTAACGTGCAATGTAATTGATTGTAATGCTTAAGTTTCTAATTATTTTTACAGACTGACTGTACGTTATATTTTATCAGAAAAAGAAAACTACGAGAGTGGTGACGAAGGTCATGTTGATGAAAATATAATCAATAAATATTTTCCTGTATTTAATGATAATACAAAAAATGAATATGCAGTATGCATATGTGGCCCTCCTGGTTTCAATAAATTATGTGAAAAGTATATATAAACTATCATGTTATATAAATAATGAATTTTAATTAAATTGTTTCTATAGGTTAGTAATCCAGCGAGGCTTCAATAAAGATGAATATTTTGTCTTCGGTTAATACATATCTTGAATGTTATTTTTTTTATATATATAAAAATATACCATTTTATAGTATTTTTGTTTTTATTGAAACAAACTATAATATGATTGTTAATCATGTATTTTATATTGTTAAAAAAAGACCCTTCGTGTTAGTTAATAACTATAAATTTGGGATAGTATCATATTGACACTATAATCTCGGAAAGCATTGACATTTTTTAGAATTTAGGGCACTATAACTATAAAGAAATACTGTTATCACAAATTGTTCAGAGCATTACTCTGTCTTACATCTCAAAATTATTATGCCACTGCCCTGTGTGCACAATTTACATAATTAAATTTTCTCCACAATCAGTAACTAAATCACTGTTACATGTGTATATAGTGTAGCATTTCATATAGTTATTAAAAGTTTATTTAGGGTATGTCTAGGTGGTGAAGTGTTATGAGCATTTGAATTGGTTGCAAATCCAGCTGTCTTTTTTCCACCATATATTGTTTTTATTGTGGAACCGCAGTTATCTGATAAATACTGTATACTCTATTCGAAATAAAAATAAACCATCTAATTTGTAAATAATATAATATTTGTTATTATAGATTCAAAAACAATTAAAATATCATGGGAATAATAAAAACATTGTAATGATAATCAATTAAAAAACCTATGTTTTGGAAAATTGGGAAAATCGGTACGATAATAAACAAATATTATTAAAGAAAATATGTTATACCTATTTAATTAATTTACCATAGTATGACATACCTACATATTGCTGTCAAAGCATCACTATCAACTGAAATGCACTCAGAATGGTTTTTTCGTTATCAATGGTTTATTGTTGCTTACATTAAATTATTTATAACAGTTACTGCATCCGTCCCCATTATCCTAGGACGTCTATTTTACATCTGCAGTGTTTCGTGCTAAATCAAAACACATATCGCGTTTATGGTTGTTTTTCGAACGGGACCATAATTATAATTGAACTTTCTTGTCGGAATGTCCCTCCCGCCAGTTGTTTTGCGATTAAAGTCTACTATAAAAGTACGTAATAAAAATTGTATCATCATATTTTGGTAATAAAGATAATAATATAATATTCAAAATTGATTTTAGTTACTGTTTGAAATAAACTTTTCCGTTTAATATTTGATATTTCTACTATAATAATATAATGAAATTGAGTCGCGTAATATAATTGCAATATAAACTTTTTAATATCAATTTATTGTTACGAATGATTTAATCATACAAGTTTCCCAGAATAAACAATTTTTTTTCAATTAATAGATACATGCCATTTAGAGACTTTCTACATATATATTTTGTTTAATTAGAGATGAAATCGTCTTCAAAATAAAAAAAATTACGCTACTGAGTACCTTCCTAGTGAAGTTTCCTTTTAGAAACATTGGTATATTTATAAACTGTATTAAAATTGCTGGTAGAAAAGTTATACACAGAAAAAAATAAGGCCGTAATATATTTGAAACTAATACCTATATTTCTTATATTTTCCCGTTTTTCCTCTGTTTATTTTTTCGATTTTTCAAATTTTATGACCTATTTAAAGTACCTTTCCATTCTGATTTACTTTCAGATAAGGTGCTACACTTAAAGATCTGAATAAGTCTTCTGGTAGAAAAGTTGCGCAGATTAAAAAAAAAAATAAAAATCTTTGTAAAACTATAAGCTTAGCTTCATTGCTCCACTCAGAATCTAAAATATGTAAACATATTATAACTAAAGCAATAAACAATTTTGTTAATCCAAAATCCAATATTAAATAATCATCTCTATCAAACAATAAAATATTACTTCGAAATAAGCTTAAAATATAAATAATTTAACAATCAATTACAAAATTAGGAACCTAGTAAAATTATTTGTTACCTATTGCAGTTTGGGTTATCATGCTATCAAATATTCTAAGTACATATTTTTATATATTATAATCATTTGTTTATTAAGAATGAATAATACAAATTATTTAATAAATAAATTTGACATTAAATGTATCTTGTTACGATATATAGTTCAGCATTCAAAAATAAGAATAAATAAAATAATAATGCAACAATAATGGCAATAATATGGTTATGGTTAAATTACAGTTTACTTATTGTTTTGTTTAAGGGCCTGGCGAATTATTTACTTGAAATTCTTGTCGAATCTAATCTTAACCGATTTCTAATTTTGGTTTTAACGTCATAGCTATTGCATCAGTGTGGAAATTTAAACAACATCTAATAGTTGACAAAAATGGAAAAGAAAAATAGAAAAATCTATAACAAATAATTTTTATAGTTAGTATAATAATATGTATAGATTATTATCAATAAGAGATTATACCTATTATCATAGAATTAAGAGTTAATTCTTTAAATGGATTCTTTGCATTTTTCTTTCCATCATAATTATAATATTGAGCGCATGTATCACTCGTTAACGTTCTTAATATAGCTGTGACGGTTTCTTGTATACTATTTGCACCCACATTGTCTTAAGCGATTTTTCTAAAATTATAAAAGTAAATGCTAAAATAAGTTGGTAATCGTTGGTAGATCAATCAGTGAGCCTATACCCACCAGACGAGTTCTATCTATTAAAGCTCTCACCGGACAATAGATTCGGTTGTGGATCAGACAAATTAATATTTCCTATTATTAATATAGATAGGCAAACGTATACATACACTTCTGCAATTTCAAAAGACAACGTATATTTTTATTACAGACAGGTATTACTTATGTCGTCTTATGTAATAAACGTTTATTTCGCTAAACGACAAACATTGTCTAGAAAGATAGACATAAAAAAAAAAAAACTGTTGTAGGTAATCGATATTATTCACTCTTTATAGCCTGCAATATGGTATATTATATTATGTTATATATTGTATACCTAACCTATGGGCTGTATTGTACCGATATTTTGGCGTAGTTTCATAACGAAAAAAAAAGTGTGTACATTTTTTTCTTCTATTATTATAATACTTTTTCCTTTTTTTTTTTTTTTTCAACTAAATCATCATAACAGACCTTGATAAAACGTTTTCCGAACAAAGTGCACGTATGCCCGGTAGAGTTTTGTCCGCCAATGAACTCGTTTTGCGCGCGTGAGTATTATAATATTATACAGCGTTCGTCGTGTAGGTATAACGATAGGTACCGGCCACTACTCGTATAGTACTGCCTACAGACTGCGGACGGCCCACAAATTCCGAATGAACGCGCAACACGAAATTACGCAACTCTGCACTCGGATAAGTGATCTAATATTTATAAACTGCATAATAATATAATACTATTGTAACACCTTCGTTTTCGTATATACGTGTGTATATATTATTATGTTCTAAACGCGTCCGGCCGACAGTTCACCCGATTGTTGCGCCGCACGGTCGTCATTATTGAACTTTACGGGTCCATTATTGTGTCCACGATTAAATTTCAATCGCGCGCCTAACAACATTGTCGCATTATTATCGGGCGCCCGGGAACCCGTTTCGCGATTAGCCTTTTTTCCGTAAGATTTATGCTAATCGGGTCATCGGAATTTTACATTTATGACGAGTAGGCGATCGGGTCACTATTTTAAACGTTTTTTTTTTATATTCTGAGCGGAAAAAGATAATACAACAAAAAACACAGACGTACTTCGCACGTGGGTGTAGCCACTGTTGTAGGTGGGAAGTTGGAAAGGTAGGATACAGAAGGAGATTTTATGTACATCTACAAGCAACGATAAACCATTGCTAACGAAAAAACGTTTCTGAGCGTATTTCATTTGATAATGATACTTAAGTATAGAATATACTTATAATAGAATATAAGAAATGTAATATAAAGATTAATAGTTAAAATAATGTATTTGAAATCGAAATTTATTTTATTTTAATAAAGCTCCGGTCTATAGAATTGCTCTTTCAACAATATGCGTTTCCATGTTAACAATGGTTGTTTAAAAAAAGATTAAAATAAGAAAAACTTAACAACAAAAAATAAATAAAACGATTGCCAATGACAACCTTATTTTTTATCTTTCAATTGTTTAACCTTAAGAATCTGGTTTTCCTCATTATCTTAAATATTAATGAGAATTTCAAAAAATAACCACTTTAAAGTACTACCCAGAGAACATTTCCTGTCAGAAAAAGTGCATACTTGATAATCGGAGTAAGCTTTCTGGTAAAAAAGTGTTCATATAAAACATTAATATCATTGTAAAATCAATACATTCCTCGTTCCACTCAGAATCTAAAAGGAGGAGTTTTCGTTATCCAACCTCATCATACGATATAAAGGACGTTTACGACCAAAGTTCGTAGAATGAGTAGAGACGTAAAAAAAGGAACGTAAAAATGCAAGGAGCGAGGAGCAACTCTAAAGTTCACTTAGCAAAGGAGAGAAAAACGAGTTAATGAAGCCATCAAGTAGTTTGCTCAAGAATAAAATATAAGCAGACACTCTTTTATCCATTAGTGAATCAAAGAAAGATTTTAGCTATCTAAGGACGTTATAATTTAATCGTGTTGGGTATGCTTGATTTTAAAAATATAAGCCACAAGGCAAGAAAACGACGCTGCACTTTCTCAATATCACAAGACCCAGAAGTAGTGTACGGGTCCCGAAGCACTGAAGAGTGGTAGTGTGCCCAGGGTGAGAGTTCAGGGGTTATATCCCCCCCCCATTAATTTAAAAATACAACAAAATATGAGTAATCTATTATCAAAACTCATAAATGTCGGCCGATTCCCGAAAAAAAAATTGATGTATTGATTAGAAATTGGCTTTTTTTTAAGACCCGACTTTTAAACTACCAATTCCTAAAGTCGAGTTGGATAGAGAAGACGATTTTACTCTTCTTTCACGATTTTCATTTGTTATATCCCCTCCCATTAAAAATTCCTGGGCACTTCACTGCCGAAGAGAAATCTAAAATAAAGCGAACAAGGGAGTAGTAAATAGCTTTTATAGAAGTGACTAGTTTAAACTCACTCGAAACACGTTTTATGAAACCTAAAACTTTGAGAGTCTTACAGCACTTGGACTTAATGTGTGGGGAAAAGTCCAGGGTAAGCGTCAGGGTAATATCTAAATCTTTAACAGAAGTAACCGATAATAAGAAAGATCCGGTAATGTCATACTTAATGTTAGAGTGCCTTCTACTAAATTACATAGATTTGGATTTAATCCCAAATAGTTAGGATAAAGGCAAAGCTTTGAAATTTATTACTAATTATCACATCTGTATTTTTTCAATTGACAATGTACATTAATATACGGCATATGTATAGAATGATTTACTAATCGTGCTATCTTATTTTTTTGGTTGAATTTTGTATATATTCGAATTCTGAGTTTTGGAATTTTTAAGTGTAATTAAACCGATATTCATTTGTGGCTCAATACTCGGATTAAAAAAATTTTAAAAATATTGTACACGAAACAGGTAGATAAAATGTGACCTAATTCCCGAGTGCCCTTAATATTATCACCATATCACTACGAACGAAATAGTGATGTAGACTGCAGGATTTCGTAGATACGAACGGTGTCGTTCAAACGGTAGGTAGGTATCTAAGTAAGAGAAAGTGACGTCGATTTCTGTTTTTTTATTGTTCGTTACGGTTAAGTATATCAATTATTTCGTTTATCTTACCAATTAAACACACATTTCTATTTATTATTTTTTCCACGTCTTTTAAGTTTTCGACTTCAAATTTTTGAAATTAGTCTAATTCAAAAATTAGTATTAGTATTTATATATGTAAATATTTATTGCATTTTAAATTTTTTTTTTTTTTGAAACCGATAAAATACCTACAGGCTATCTGGCTATAGTTGCAAAACTTGTATTTCAATCGCATTTCGTAATTCCAACAATCGTTAAAACATTATTTTTATTCCTATAACTTATGTATAACAAGTCTGCAGTTGATATTACTAACTGTTTAAATTAATGTAGATTCTGAGCAAAGGAGCTATTCACAATATAATATGTAAATTTATTACCTACGTTTTAGATTATAAGTGTATTTATCGTTACTCCCAAGTCTCAATATTAAAAGAAAATAATAATAAAATAGTAATACGTCGATACTGAGAATTATTTTTGAATTAAAGTCTACAATTCTACAGCTACAATATACGGGTATTACATAGAACATGATGTTACAAAAAATGAACCTGTTAAAACCTGTTTAAAAAAAAAAAAAAAAAACAAAATGTAAATATAAATACCTAGGTACAATGTGAATAATAATTACGAAATCGTGAAAAGAAGTTGATAAGTTTCTCTTTGAAATTTAACCCGGATAATAATTTTGAAACAATACCAATCTGATTCCGATATGGTCCCGGTGCAATAAAACTAATTTATTGTGGTGTCGAAAGTCTAATCGTAAAGTACTGTTTTACTGTAGGTTTCTGTATTATATATATCTACCTGGGTACCTACTTTAGTTTTATAACAAAAGGATACCTATCTATTTTTAAGAAATCGTGTACACGCGAGCACATAAATAATAACGATTGTAATTCATGCGTTAAATAAATGTTTGATAAGATATACCAGATACAAAAATCTACAAATTAGATTGTCCTCAACACGATTTTGAATATAGTGGTAGATACTGTAATTATTACATTAGAGAATAACACAAAAGACATTCGAAGTAAAGTAGGCGCATAATGTAAAATCGTAAATTATTATATTTTTTAACTATTATCTTATTTATTTTGAAGTCACCTTGAAGCAATATTGTAGTTATATAAGTATACGAAACAATAATGAAATGCTTTAATTCGTATAGAAAGTAAAACACTCGGAACTCGGGTAATACTTTTTACCTTGAAGTACACATCAATATATATTATGTTAAATGATTAAATAAATGTGTTTAACTCGAAGCGCAGGAAGTGTTAGCTGATGCGGGTGGTACAGCCAAATAGCGTTTCGGACAAATTGTAAGTTACATTTCTTTAATTGCAAATAAATGTAAGCTTATTCTCAGAATTTACAAGTTCACCGTATTACCGTGAAGAGCTTTTGAAGTTTGGGCGGTAGTCTCCCCCAATTACGGCCAAATCGTACACCGTCACGTATCGGGGTTTCCAGTTTTTTATTAGATACGTACAGGAAAAGTCCGATAAGATCTAAATAAAAAACCAATAATACTATGTTCAACGACGATCACGTCATAAATTTTCGGTTGTAAAAAAATCTTGGTGTGAATTAATGTGGAAAAAAATAAGATTGGGTGAGCGGGCGGGTGGAGAATCAGAGGTAGTTTGAACGCACTGACAAGGCATAGGTGTAAGAGGTATGGGTTAAAGTGTTTTACATTAGGTATATTTTACCATTATTATATCCCGTTGTTATAACTGATTAATAGATAGGTATGGAAAACAGATCTATGACAATAATAGGATTATTAAAACGGTTAATAGCTGCCTGCTGTAATGCCACGAATATATGAATATACGAATGGCATTTCTATAAATATCATTACTTTATAATATTGCTCCATATAAATTAAACAATTAAAATCATAATAATATAATTATGTTTGGAGGTTAACGCACGTTCTATAGTTTCCGTGCATAATATTGTTTTTAAATTTTTGTAAATTTAATAATTGTAACTTAAATAGGAAAACTACAGATATCTAATAAAATTATAAATATACATTATACAGTCGGCTATAGTTAACAACAAATAAAGATAAAGGATTTAGAGTAGAAATCACGAATTAAAATATTTTTATTATAATATATAGTTGAGGCACGTATATATTATTATCTTAATTCTTGGTAGAGGCGTCAGGCATAGTTAATTCGTGAGCAGGTGCTTGATGATTTAGTGCGACAGAATGTATGTATGGAATCAGAAACTTGGAAATATTCAGGTTTCGACGAACAACTTTGTACTGTTGTACTGTTAGCATTAATATTAAAGTGAACTGATCGGTAATGGAACATTTTAATCCGATGTAGACGATTTGATCAGTTGGGGATTTTTTGATCCGGTCAGGCAGTGCAATTTGTTTTGGAAACGGATCAAAATGTCAAAATATTTACACAAATTAATTGCCGCAACGTACGTTTGTAGGACGGAGACAACACGTGCGGGTATCACCGCCGTCTTTACGTTCTATAATTTTACATACAATTACAGCGGTTCATGACGGGTAATATATATATATATATACCTATTGATACTGACAATAGAACTTAAAATTCAGGAAATGAATAACAGTATATATCGTCATATTACAAAGTTCGTATTAATTATATTGTTGAGACGATGAAGTTTCCGTTTAAATATTGTATTCGTATGAGGGGGGGGGAGGGGAACGACGCGTTCCTTGATAAATTAGCGGTAGGTCTAAGATGGTACATAATATACCTGAGTGTAAACGTGATAACTGATATTTGATAATATGGAGAGCGTATAATGGGTATGTTATACTATATTATACACCCGAATACCCAAACAAAACGGTTTACGCGAGGTATTGGCGATTGTCACAATTATGCGAGCACAAAATAACTGTATTTTATTAAGCACGACCAATATAAATTGTTTTTTCATTTGTTGTTGTTGGATGCATTTTTATTTCGCAGGCACTGAACGTCCGTATTCTACTGTGATTTAATTAGTTATACTATAGCATATATGCGCTATTCGACGTGATCGGCATCAGTAAACGATGTTTCGCCCATTACGTTATCCTCGGCATAGTCGTCATCAATGTTGCCCCGTAAACGCGAATTTTTCATTTTGGCGTGAATTCGCTCGCTTAGCAAATCGGACAAAAACACTTTGTCGTATTTTAAACGTTTCATTATCTCCTCGTCTTCCGCGATTTTACGTCGCATTTGGTCGGCATACACACAGTCGTCGTTTTCGGGCTTCATGTTTGCCCTAAAATACCTATACGATTCGGGGGACATAAAAAGTAACACAGCTATAATACAAACTTATATGTACAGGCGCGTGTAAAAGGGGAGGGGGTGGGGTTAGGGGTCACCCCCTTCCCCCCCCGAAATTTCATAAAAATTATGATGAAAGTAGAATTTGAATAGAGTCTAAAAAAAGTGGTTTCTGTCAACGAGTAAACTATTTTGTTATAATAGTATGAAAGTGTACAACCTTAACCCCCCCTCCCCCGAAATATGTTTTGTAAACGCATTTGTTATAACGTTATCTGTGTACCTATAGTGTACCTATAAAAATATAAATATAATATTGTAATATGTATATAATACGATGAATTATGATGTATATGTTTCATTAATTATTTTTGTGTTTACTCGATTGGATCATCCGGTCTACTTTCGTTCATCGCCCGGAACACTTCACCCACGATTTTCCAAACGCCGTTTTTTCGCAGATAGACCATAAACGAAATGTAATCGTCTTCTTCGGAAAACTATAACATTAATACGATGGTAGCTGTTATTGCGGTTGACGGTCGTTAACTTACACAAGTTGTATCGTATTTATACATAGTCAGTGTACAGTCCCGCCTACAATATCTTCGTGACTACCTTATCGCATCGTTTGTTCTCGTTCTTTCAACACGTTCATCGTACTAACAATCAATCTATTTTTATCGTTTTTCCGTTCTCGTTTATATAGTATAGGTTCATATATCCCCTACTATTATAGACTACCTACCTCATATTTATATTTATAAATATACGCCTATATAATATATATACATATATATATATATATATATATTCATTTCTAATCCTACTGTCGTGTCGCCGAAGTTCTAAACACGTAGTCGGGCAAAATACGTTTAAAGAGGTCCCAATAATTAAACACAGCCTAATTGCATGTCCAAAATTATGATTAGCATAGGTTTTATTTATTTAATGAAATATTCAATCGGTTTGGCAACTAAACATTGGTCCGAAATGAAGCGGCCCTATGATTATTTTTTAAAAAGGAGCCGGATCAAGGCCCGACCTTAACGCCGGGTTCGGCTTCACTATAATCCTACCAAACAACTGCAGGTTACGACACACATCCCGCGCCGATTCCCATAATCATTTCTACAGTCACTTTTATTTTTATTTCGCTTCTGTTATTCAATTATTCACCCGAGTCCCGTGCCTTACGCGCCCATACACGATTACATTTAACCGGAACGAAATAAACTGTCAAATGAATAAAACTAAAATCACAATTCCGTTTTCGATTTCTACGCAATATTCCTCATACGAATCGAGCAAACGTATATGTAAGTATATTAAATACAATTTTTCGTCGGACCTATACGCGGTGATACAACATAATCATTGCTGTTGTTTTGTAAATAAACGACATTATTATTTTTGATTTACTCGAGTAAACGCCTATATATGTATTTATATAAACCTTTCAGGTACTTATAACACTGCGATCGGACGGCGGCGCAATTTGTCTCTGTCACGCTTATTAATCGTAAACAGGTTCAAATGAGTTCAGCGCTGCCCACATTCGTGAGTGTAATATTTTGTCCACCTACCTATTCGGCCGTCGTATGTATTGTATAGTTATTGTAGTATTGTTGCAGGGGGTATGATCGGTAGGTAATTATATTTTGAGCGCAGAAGAAAAAATGCAGAGTGAAGAGAAATATTACTGAAATCGTATTGTTCACTAGTTATATTAAAAAAAAAAAAAAAAAAATCGAAATACGAATTGAGAAGGTATATATACAGTCCAGGACCAGGGTGATTGGAGAACAATGACGGCGTCGATGGCCAAAAATTATTGTTGAATTATAAAGCCAATGATAAAGAAGAATTTATTTTAGTAGGTACCTATCTCTACGCGAGATCGTAGCGCAGGATTACGATACGAACAAACGGGATATCAATAGGCAGATAAATGAAGTATTTTCCAGTTTTTTAACGTGAAATACTTACAAGGTGTCCTACAGTGTTATCCTCATGTCAATATTCATTTTTTTTCAAACAGGTTTTATGCGAGGGAGAAGACACACATTTAAAGAAAAATTAAATTTTTATTTTCATCCTTTAATCACTTAAAAAAACTAACTTTATTTTTCTACTTTTTAAAATTTTCAAAATAATCATTTTGTAAAAGATAAATGTATTAAAAAAATTGGAATGTAACATATATTCATATTCGATTAATAGTTTCTTAGTAATGGCCGTTTTAATTTCTAGAAAATTGATGTGAAAATAATTAAGATACATTGGAAGATAAGGAATTTCCGTGCTGATTGTGATTCCTTATCGCGTAACGTATTATTAAATTGAAAATTAATTGCTTTTTCGCCAATTATCTAGAAATTAAAACGGCTATTACTAAGAAATTATTGATCGGATATGAATGTATGTTACGTTGATATTTTTAGAATAATATTATCTCTCACAAAATGCCTATTTTGAACATTTTTAAAAAGCAGAAAAATAAATTTATTTTTTTCAGTGATTATAGGATGAAAATAAAAATTTCATTCAACTCGCTCAAAACCTTATTGACAGAAAAAAAAAATGAATATAGACAAAATTATTAGCTTAAGGATAACACCATAGGACACCCTGTATAGGTACACAATATTATTATATCAACAAATACTACTAACCGGTAATTTCATAAGAATAATATTATGGCTATGGTCGAAATCGCGGAGGTGCCAGACGGACAACGCCCCACTCGATTTTACGTGTTCGTTATAATCTTTTATATGTCAGTCCACCAGTCCTTGTGAAGGTTGCGAAGTAACTTATAAATCCATTAACTATATACATTTTATTAGAGTATAGTATATATGTATAATATACTATATTGTATAATCGAGCACTGCGAACCTAGAGTTAAAAATAAATATAGAAAGAAAACGAATCGTGTGTATAACAATAGGTCATATCAAATGACATTTTATTTGAATAGTCTCGATAAAAATAATTTCACAGATATGTATACTTTATTGTCGGGTACGTGTTATACAAAAAGGCGGACATACTTCGCACCGTGGGTCATAAGTGAGCCATTGTTGTAGGTGAAAAGTTGGGAAGGTAGGATATATATAGAGGAGAATTTAATGTATATGTATATATATAAAAAATATATACTTATAAAAAAAATTTGATGTCACTCAATTTTTTTTTTGTTAGACCATAAAGTACCACTCATAATGAACCTCCTGTTAAATTGGCAAGTATTTTTTTTTGGACTGACAATTGTATCCACGGAGTATCTATACCGAATAAAAATTACGTAAAACATCCGCAAAAATTAAAATGTCTATAAAATGGCTTAAGTGATTTACCACCGTCTAAAAAAAGAAAATGTATGTATTTGTCGAAGTTTTAAATCTCTACGAATATTTTTAACCGAATTAAAACAAAAAAATAAAATTAAAAATAATATAAGAATTATTTTCGTAAATTTTCAAGATCTCACAAATAAGATTAAAAACTCAACAACAATAATTTCTTGTCATTTTTTTATTGGAGCAATATTTCTGGTAGAAAACATAAAGCGTACAAATTTAAAATAATGAAATTGTTACGTCGTAAATATTTGTGCATTTTCCCGTTTTTCCTCCGTTTTTTTCAATTATTATAAAAACCGCTTAGAATAAAAAAATAATTAAATCATTGTTATTTAAAAAGCGATTCTAAGCAGAACTTATTAAACTGGTAAGATTATTGTATTAGTTGTTTGTTTTTCGCTTGTTGCTAATAGTAATCCAGAAATTAACAAAAATAATAAAATCAATATTATCAGTTTTTTTTTTTAAAACTGTGAAATTGTGGTAAAATATTCATGTCTTATTTTAATTATTAACTTTTTTGTTAATTTGTAAAAAAAAAACATTTTGTCAAAAGTGAGAAGTGGGTGTGTACATAATGATTAATGTGTAATACCATTGAAGTATTATCAGATCGCGGGAGGGCGGGCATAGCCATCACCCAATGGGTCTGTGGATTGGCATTTTTCGTATCCGCCCCTAGAAAAAAAAATGCTAATTACGCCACTGATATTCCATATTATAGGTGCTCAGTTGTGTATCCGTGTATCCATGGGGGTCATGGTCCTATCTCCATTGGCAGTAATGCGGTTTATTTTTATAACTCATTTTACTAACTAAGTACAGTATACTTGTAAATGCAATAAAGGAAATAAACGTGTAATTTTGGGTTTGTTTGTTGTTGTTTTTTTTTAGCCCCCTCCGTTGAGAAATCCTGGTTACACCGCTGTAGATACCTGTACCATAACTAATTGCGAACCATCTATATAGACGACTGTACAAATGTAAACTATACAATATAATGTTGTTATGTGTATTAAGATTCACAAGTTACCTACATAATGAATAAAAAAAATATTAGAGGTGACTGAATTTTTATCGGCTGATATTATGACATAATATAATAATAATAATATATATATATATAGCGCAGCGTTATGACACGTTTAGCTGTAATCTGTATGGTACCTACATAATATAATACACGATTTTTGTTCCCAGTTTAATTACCAACTTTTTATCGTTCTAATATATACAGGAATATCATATTTTAGAAAGTAATAAAATATACGCTGTAACTGTAGCAGTCATTTATTAAAGTGTACCTAATTAAAATTTTCGGAATGGGTAAATTTCACAAATGTTTTTAATGTATTAGATTGTATAGACCTACCTATTATATACATATATCGTTATTATTTTTAGTTTTCTTTATATTCTTTAAAAAAAAACTTCCGGTTTAGTATCATTATAATATCACGGTTTATACCTATATATATATTTATCTATATTGTACAAGCTTATGACCCACTTTTCGGGGAACCGTGACTTTGTCGCAAATACCAAACTATTGACCGCGATTGATGTGTCACGGGGTAAATACGATGATTTTCTACTTTGGTTTATTGCTGTACTACATTAATACTAGTGTTATTAATAACGAACGCCATCTTTAAAATGTTATTAATGTGTATTACACATAGTGTATACCAATACGTCACTATGCATTTAATATATTTTTATTTTTTATACAAAAATATTCTAGAAAGCAAAATGGAATAATATTGTATACGAGACGGTTCATTAATTTGTTCAATAAATGCAAATGATATTATTTCCATAAATATTATTTACACGAGTCCTTCGTAAAATTTAACATATAATTGATTAACCAATAATCGCTATAACATCGTATACCTACATAAACACATAACTCAACATAATACACTTATATAACTTAACATGCACTTAATAATACACCTATTAATATATTTTTTAAGTTAAAATATCGAGTCCACCTGATTTATTTCATTATTTGGTATACTGTAAATAAAAACTTACCTTTCTTAAATTATTATTATTGTCCATTGTAAACGTTTGAAAATATTTTATTTTAAAACGTC